GTAAACATAGCAGTTTCTCTGACACTGCTGTTTACAGCTGCAGGGTTAACCCTAGATGGACCTGGCACCCAGACCACTTCATTGAGCTAAAGTGGTCTGGGTGCCTATAGTGGTCCTTTAACCCCTTAAGGACTGGACTGTTTTTGCGATGTTGTACATTTGCGACCAGGAATATTTTTACACTTTTCTGGTGTTTGTGTTTGGCTGTAATTTTCCGCTCTCTCATTTACTGTTCCCATACAAATTATATATTGTTTTTTTCAGGACAAAAGGGCTTTCTTTACATACCATTATTTATACAATCTCATGTATTTTAATTTAAAAAAAATACAAAAATCTGATGAAAAATTGAAAAAAATACATGTTTTTTGACTTTTACTTGAAAAATCTTTTACTCATCTACAAAAGCGAATGAAAAAAACTGCTAAATAGATTCAAAATTTTGTCCTGAGTTTAAAAATACCTAGTGTTTACGTGCTTTTTTGCTTTTTTTTGCATGTTATAGGGCTATAGGTACAAGTAGGATATTGCGGTTTCAAAACATACATTTTTAAAATTTATCAATAGTGACATTGTAACACTATTATCTGTCATAAATCTCTGAATAACACCCCACATGTACATTTTTTTTTTTTTTTTTAAAGTAGACAACCCAGGGTATTCAATATGGGTTATGTCCAGTCTTTTTTAGTAGCCACTTAGTCGAAAACACTGGCCAATGTAAGCATTCATATTTGTTTGTGTGTGAAAAAAGTAAAAAAACTAAATTGAACGCAAATTTTGGCCAGTGTTTGTGACCAAGTGGCTACTAAAAAAGACTGGACATACCCCATTTGCAATACCTTGGGTTGTCTTCTTTTGCAAATGGTATGCCATCATGGGGGTAATTCTCATTCTTGGGCTACCATAAGCTCTCAAAGGCAAAGTAACCAACCTGGCCATTTTCAATGTAAAAATATTTGACCCATGTATTTGACCTTGTAACTTTCACAAATGCTATAAAACCTGTACATGGGGGGTACTGTTTTACTCGGGAGACATCGCTGAACACATATATTAGTGTTTAAAAACTGGAAAACGTATCACAACAATTATATCATCAGTAAAGGTGCTGTTTGTGTGTGAAAAATGCAAAAAAAGTAACTTTCACTGACAATATCATCACTGTGATATGTTTTACTGTTTTGAATCACTAATATTTGTGTTCAGCGAAGTCTCCCGAGTAAAACAGTACCCCCCATGTACAGGTTTTAGGGTGTCGTAGAACGTTACAGGGTAAAATACAGTGCCAGCAAATTAAATTCTCTGGAATTTCGGCCTGGGTTGGCAGGCAGGTCCCTCAAATTGCAATCAATAAAATTACTGAATTATTTAAAAATATTACATAAATACGCACGTAGAATTTAAATATATATGCATATTTATATATTTGAAGTCTGCGTGTATATTTATATAATTATTTATGTAATTTTGTATATGGACGTATGTATATTTCTTATTATTTTTATTTATTTTTATATACATAGATATATATACAAATTCATTCTAAGTGTATTTTGATATAAATATATATATATTAATTTTAAAATACAGTTAGAATAAAATTTCATATAGCTATATAATTTTTTTTAAAATTTTTATTATTATTTTTAAAAATTTTTATTTAATTTAAATTACTTATTATTTATATTTTATAATAATATATATATACAATCTATATAGTTATTATATATATTATATATATACGTGTGTAATTTAATTATAAGTGTATTTTTATATTAATATAAGTACATATTAATATAAAAATACACTTAGTATGACAATATATATATATGATATATAGACATATATTATATAGATATAATATATGTCTATATATCATATACACACATATATAATTATTATTATTTTTTTAATTAACATTAACTTTATTTTTTTTTCTGATTTTACACTAGCAGGGAGACTGCCTGTCAGCACAGACAGTCCCCCTGCAGGCAGCACTATGGACACCCATTGTGACCATGTGATCGCTATGTTAAGCGATCACATGGCCCCAGGGGTCCTAAATCAGTGTGGGGAGACTGTCTGGGCTGCAGGCAGTCTCCCCACACCGGGAGCAACACTGATCGCCGCCGGGGGAACGACGGCGATCAGGTAAGTAACGGAAACCGTTAGGACGGTTCAGGACCGTCATCGGTCCGCAATGGGAAAATCCCGATGACGGTCCTGAACCGTCCTCGGTCGGGAAGGGGTTAAGAACCCCAAGCAGCAGCAGGAAAAAGATGAGTAAATCACCTTTTTAACCCGAGGTAAGGAAGGCTGACAACCTAAATGGTGGTTTTAGAACAATAGTGTCAAGAATACACGTTTGTGTTCCTGACACTCTAGAGCCCCTTTTTTTGCCATCATGCAAGTCTAATACTCAACACGCAGAACTTAAGAAACCAAACAATATAATACCAGAAATAATACCATATGCACCATACCTCAGAATGGCTGGATTTAAAGGGATTTTCTGGTGCCAGGATCCTGGAGTGCCCCCCATCCCATGTCGCTGGCGTTGTTAAAGGGACACTATACTCACAAGAACTACAGCTTTTTGAATTTGTTCTGGTGTGTAGAATCATTACCTTCAGGCTTTTTGCTGTGAACACTGTCTTTTCAGAGAAAAAGCAGTGTTTACATTACAGCCTAGTGATAACTTCACTGGCCACTCCTCAGATGGCTGTTAGAGATTCTTCCTAGGTCATGGCTCCCTAAAATGCATCCAAACATTCAGTGTCTCCTCCCTCTGCATGCAGACACTGAACTTTCCTCATATCGATGCATTGATTTAATTCATCTCTATGAGATGCTGATTGGCCAGGGCTGTGTTTAAATCATGCTGGCTCTGCCCCTGATCTGCCTCCTTGTCAGTGTCAGCCAATCCTATGGGGAAGCACTGTGATCAGGCCATCACTTCTGATGATGTCAGCACTATAGGGTCAGGAACACAAACATGCATTCCTGACCTTATCGGGTTAAAACCACCATCTAGCCCCCCCCAGCCTACATAAATATAGCAAAATCTTAATGTATTGCGAGGACCTCACAATCACATGGCCGGGATAGCTGGCTGCTGCATTGCCAGCAGGGGGGCTGCCTGTAATGACAGGTAGTCCCCCTGCTGGCTGGAAATAAAATTAGTTAAAAAGTGTAAAAATAAATATATACTTAGGTCATATATATATATATATATATATATATATATAAAATTTGCATTCGGGGCTATTTCAGTATAGTATGAAATAGCTAGTGAGTATATTTATCATAATAATTAAAAGTCGGCAAGGTGTGCTGAAACCGACGTGTGTGGTAGGCCTGTAAATAAGAGGGCCCACCTTAAATAGTATTTGAATAGAGGGAGAGGAGGGTGGGCCAAAGAGCATCTGGACCAGAAGGTGAATGAGGTAGGAGGGGGGGAGTCCCTTTTAAAGGGATATAGCCCCTCCCACAACTTCAGGCCCTGCCTTCCAATTTGTATTCGGGGCCATTTCAGTATAGTATGAAATAGCTAGTGAGTATACTTATCATAATAATTAAAAGTCAGTAGAGGTGTGCCGAAACCGACGTGTGTGGTAGGCCTGTAAATAAGAGGGCAAAAAAAAAATAATATATATATATATATATATATATATATTAATATCAAATTACACGTTGACTGATATTGATTAAATATATATAATTATTGTTATATATATATTTATATAATATAAAAAAAATTAATATGTAAATACGTTAAAAAATAAAATTTAAAAAATAATTAAAAATTATAGATGTGTGTTATTTCGTTCTAACTGTATTATGATATTAATATATATATATCAAAATACACGTAGGACGAAATAATATATATATATACACACATACATAAATTTCACTATATATACCTATATATAAATAAAAATATTTAAAAAAATTATATATATATATATCACACACATATATTCACATACGTATATATATACACATATATTAATTATACATATATATATTTATGTAATATTTTTACATAATTAGGTATCTTAATTAATTACAATTAGCGGGACCTGCCTGACAACCCATGCCGAAAGTAAAGGGAATTTAATTTGCTAGCACTATATTTAACCCTATAACTTTCCAAGACACCATAAAACCTGTACATAGGGGGTACTGTTGCAATAATATCGTCCATGTAAGTGCTGCTTGTGTGTGAAAAATGTGAAAAACTTCACTTTTACTGGCGATATTGTTGTAATACATTTTACTGTTTTGAAACAAATATTTGTGTTCAGCGAAGCCCCCCGAGTACAACAGTAGCCCTCATGTACAGGTTTTATGGTGTTTTCAAAAGTTACAGTGTCAAATATAAGGCTTGTGTTTCATTTTTTTCCCATATTAAAATTCGCCAGATTGGTTACGTTGCCTTTGAGACCCTATGGTAGCCCAAGAATGAAAATTACCCCTATGATGGCATACCATTTGCAATAGTAGACAACCCAAGGTATTGCAAACGGGGTATGTCCAGTCTTTTTTAGTAGCCACTTTGTCACAAACACTGGCCAAAATTGACGTTTTTTGCATTTTCCACACACAAACAAATACTAACGCTAACTTTGGCCAGTGTTTGTGACCAAATGGCTACTAAAAAAGACTGGACATACCCCATTTGCAATACCTTGGGTTGTCTACTATTGCAAATGGTATGCCATTATGGTTGTAAATTACATTCGTGGGCTACTATAAAGTCCCAAAGGCAGCGTAACCAATCTGGCGAATTTCAATTTCAAATGTAACGTGCTATATTTGACCCTGTAACTTCCCAAAACGCCATGAAACCTGTACATAGGGGGTACTGTTTTACACGTGAGACATCACTGAATACAAATATGTGTATTTTATTGCAGTTAAAGCAAACAGTATTATGACATTGACAGTTAAAATGTCATGTAGAACTAAAAAAATAAATCTTATTTTCTCCCATTTTTTTTCATATTAAATTATGTTTCATAGCTAAATATTTGATATTAAATGAAAGACCTGTTTCCCCTGAATAAAATGATATATAATAAGGGTGGGTGCATTTACTATGAAATAGATGAATTACGGTTGGACAGACATGTAGCGCAAATGCCAGGTTTTGTTTACATTTTGTTTCGTTCACATGTACATTTGGCTCAGTCCTTTAGGGGTTAACAGGTCTTAAAATAACAAATACTTCAAATTAACAACACATGAGGTGCTCCAGTTTGAGGTTTGCTGGCATTTGTTTATGGTTTAGCAGTTTGCTGAACTGGATCATTTGGGTGAGTGTTTACACAATGCCAAATAGGAAAGACATCAGCAATGATCTTAGTGAAGCAATTGTTGCTACCCATCAAACTGGAAAGGGATATAAGGCAATTTCCAAAAATGAAATGTCAATTCTTAGTGAGAAAAATTATTAAAAAGTGGAAAGCATTCAAGACAATTTGCAATCTTCTCAGGAGTGGATGTCCCAGCAAATTCCCCCAAGGTCAGACAAATTGCAAAAACACCAGGAGTTACATCTCAGACTCTACAGGCCTCAGTTAGCAAGTTTAAGTGCAACATGACAATGATCCCAAGCGCACCAGCAAGTCTATAACAGAATGGCTGCAGAAAAAATAAAATAAATGAAGATATTGCAATGGCCCCGTCAAAGTCAAGACCTCAACCTGATTGTAATGCTGTGGCAGGACCATAAGAGAACTGTCCTTAAACAAATGCAAACAAACCTTAATGAACTGAAGAGTGGGTTATAATTTCTCGATGATGTGAGAGACTGATAAAGTCATACAAAAAACAATTACTTCAAGTTATTGCTGCTAAAGTTGGTTCTACAGGCTATTGAATCATAAGTTGTACTTAGTTTTTCACACACTGCTTCGCTATATTGGCTTTATTTTTGTTAAATAAACCATGACACGGTTTAATAGGTCATGTGTTGTTGTTCATCTGAAATTGTATTTACCCAATTTTAACACCTGCTAATGAGAAAATAAATTATGTCGTCATTTGTAAAACCATAGTATTCAAAGAGGGTGTACTTTCTTTTTCCAATGACTCTATATAAATCCATCTGCCCTGTTCCTCAAGGGGAGCACGCACAACTTGGACTAATACGAATTAGGTATATCAATGTAAATGCATTGTAATAAAACACATTTCAACCATCAGAGTTTTTCAAAGTGTGCCAGATGTTTTAGAATGTCTGTGGCTGGTAAAATATTTGAAAGGTTATTAAGGGATAATATGCAAGAATTCCTAGAGAATAAAATGAATTAAATGGTTATCAGCAAAAATCAGCATGGTTTTATGAAGCACAGGTCATGTCAAACTAACTTGATTGTGTTCTACGAAGAAGTAAGTAGAAGTATAGATCAGGGTGTTGCCGTGGATGTGATCTATTTGGATTTTGCCAAGGCAATTGATACAGTTCCACACAACAGATTAGTGTCCAAACTCCAGGAAATCTGTTTAGATGAAAATGCTTGTTCTTGGGTAGAACATTGGCTTAAAAACAGAGTACAAAGAGCTGTCATTAATGGTAAATTTTCAAGCTGGACAGAGGTGGCAAGTGGTGTCCCTCAGGGGTCTGTTGTGGGACCCCTTCTATATAACATGTTTATAAATGATCTTGAAGACAGCATTAAAAGTCATGTTTCAGTGTTTGCAGATGACACAAAACTTTGTAAAATAATACAATGTGAGCAAGATATTACTTTGCTACAGAGGGATTTAGATAGACTGGGGGACTGGGCACTCAAATGGCAGATGAAATTTAATGTTGAAAAATGCAAAGTTATGCACTTCGGCGTAAAGAATACACAAGCAACATATACCCTTAATGGAAGCGAATTAGGGATAACAACACACGAAAAGGACTTGGGAATTGTTATAGACAACAAACTATGCAACAATGTGCAATGTCAATCAGCAGTGGCCAAGGCCAGTAAGGTATTGTCATGCATGAAAAAGGGCATTCATTCTCGGGACGAGAATATCATTTTGCCTCTTTATAAATCACTGGTAAGACCCCATATTGAATATGCTGTGCAATTTTGGGCACCTGTTCTAAAGAAGGATATTATGGCACTAGAACAAGTGCAGAGGCGGGCTTCAAAATTAATAAAAGGAATGGAACAGATCAGCTATGAAGAAAGGTTAACAAATTTAAACCTATTTAGCTTAGAAAAACGTCGCCTGAGAGGGGATATGATAACATTATACAAATATATTCGGGGCGAATACAAACCATTGTGTGGAAATCTATTCACAAACCGGACTTTACATAGGACACGAGTCCATGCGTTTAGACTGGAAGAAAGAAGATTTTGTCTAAGGCGAAGGAAAGTGTTTTTTTTTTTTACTATAAGAACAATCAGGATGTGTAATTCTCTGCCTGAAGAAGAATGAATTTCATTTTAGCCTATGTGACAGAGAAACCAACCATATTATTTTATAATAATGTGATACCAATATTTCTATTTCTTATTTATGATCAATATTTTTTAAGCCAAGTAAGAGTTTTCTATTTGTTAATCTGCATTTAGGGTTAACTAGAAGAGGAACTTGACAATTAACTAGCTTGATTTATATGTTTAGCACATTCATACAAGTTGATTCAGCATCTACAGATAACATTTTAAACTTTATAATTTGCTACAATTGACATTATATATTTTTTTTTATAAGCCGTACAGTTGTTATTTAAAATTCACCTTTATATTCAATCCCTCTAACCACTCCCTTTCCATGTAGGGATTAATGAATGATGATAATTACAAAGTGTTAAACAAAGAATCAATCATGAAGACACCAACTAAACTAAGATATTGATACGGCTCAGGTAGAATATGTTTTATACTTCTGTCTACTTAAGTAACAACATTATAACACTCATATGACACTCCAATCAAATAAATCTAATGGTAGAGCATAAATATGTTGCCACTGTTCAATGGTGTAGGTCTCTGAGAGAGCGCAGGCTTTGTGCACATGTGCCAATGAGGGCACTCAGCTGAGCACTGTATTCCACAGAGGGAGTCTCTTGTAACTGAAGAGATGCCCATCTCATCTTTTCCAGGAGAGCAGACTCAGAAAACTGAATGGTATCAGAGGCTACTGGGTTGGAATCAGAGATGGAGGAAATATTGTTGAGAGTTGGCCTTGTAATGGAAGCTGCCTGGGAATCCACAGCAGGAGTGTTGACTTGGCAGGGATGAAGAGACAGCTGATGTTCTCTCACCTGAGACAAAGCTGCCTGGGGGTTGAGAACTGAAAGATAAATGATAAATGTGAGTTAGGTATATGAATGAACAAGTAAATTATTTAAAGGAGACTGCAATTATAGTATAATTAACAACAGTAAAACATAGTGTTAGGCAGTATTTCTAAACCAGTCATTCAAAAGGATATGAAAAGTTATAAAAATGTGCAGACTGTATAAATCCAACATATGCATAGATAGATAAACAGATTCTAAATAAATCATAACAAACCATGAGACAGATGGGTCTGTTATTTATGAATGATTTCAGGAGCTTAAAATTGGATTATTTGCCCGTAATACAAGCGTCAATGTTTTTTGTTTTGTTTTTTACATTCTTTAATTTTTGTCAGTGCAGCTATATTTATACCAACTGGTTTAACTATTACATTAAGAATATGAGTGACAGAAAAAAAAAAAATCAGTAGTAGATACCAGAAGTACTGCACTTTTTTTCTGTTTGTAAAAGAAAGTAAATCAGGCATATATTACACGTGAAACAGTATAGCATGGAAAGTGTAATGCTTAGGGTAAAACGGCGTATACCTTGCCATAATGAGTAAAGGCTCTGGGCCCAACCGAAACACTAATAGTTGGGGGAATAAAATGGACTACAGTAGTAGTTACTCATTAGGAAAGATGGTTTGGGGTTTTTAGAACATTGGGCTGATTTTGCGCTTGAGTGCAACCTGTATAGTCATGATGCATTGCACCTAAACGGAAGAGCGTCCGCTGTGCTGGAGGATAGGATGGCTAGAGGAGATTTTAAACTTGTAGTAAGAGGGAGGGTCATAGCAATCTAAAAATGGTGGTAGGACAGAAAGAAGATGGGTTTTAAATTAGTAAAAAGGGGGGTGGATATGGGGGAGGGGCAAACTCAGAACAGAGGAGGTATGCAATATTGATACAAATTCACAAAAAGTACAAATGACTCATGATTATATTAAATGTATGCTTACAAATGCAAGAAAATTAAATAACAAAATGGGGAAACTAAAGGCAATTGCATACACTAAACAATATGATACAATAGGCATAAAAGAAACATGGTGGGATGAGACACATGGCTGGGCAGTTAACTTAAATGGGTACACGTTTAGGAAGGATAGGAAAAACAAGGAAGGTGGTGGGGTATGTTTGTATGTCAATCACGAGTTAACATCAAATCTTAGGCATTTGGAGTGTGACAAGGAAAATGCGGACGCTTTATGGGTAGATATCTACTTGGGGCAAACAATTATTGGTTGGCATATGTTCTAAACCACCTAATGTAGATATTAATGAGGAAAAACAGATGTTAGAGCAAACTGGGAAAGCCTCAAATCTGGGTAACACGTTAATTATTGGAGATTTTAAAATTACCCGAACATAAATTGGGATAAAGGGAATAGTACTTCAGCAAGGGGCATCAGGTTTTCGAATGTGTTAAATGACACTTACATGTCACAACTGGTACAAACGCCAACTAGAAAGGATGCTTGTCTAGATCTCGTTATAACAAACAATGTTGATCTTTTTACCAACATCCAAGTAGGGGAACATTTGGGAAATAGTAATCACAATGTGTTTTTTTTTTATTTTTTTTAAATAAACTCAAAAAAGGAAACGCACGTGGGGTACACGAAAACGTTTAATTTAAAAAAAGCAAATTGCAATTTGATTAGGGGACTGGGCACTAAAATGGCAGATGAAATTTAATGTAGAGAAATGCAAAGTTATGCACGTCGGGGTCAAGAATGCACAAGCAACTTACAGCTTAAATGGTAGTGAATTAGGGATAACCACACACGAGAAGGATTTGGGGAATGTTATAGACAACAAATTAGGCAGCAATATGCAATGTCAATCTGCAGTTGCTAAGGCCAGTAAGGTTTTGTCATGTACAAACAGCGGCATTAATTCTAGGGATGAAAATATAATTATTATAAATTTATATAATTATAAATAGCTGGTAAGATCATACTTTGAATATGCTGTGCAATTTTGGGTACCTGTTCTAAAGAAGGATATCAGAAGATGAGCTACAAAATTGACAAAAAGGAATGGAGCATTTTAGGTATGAAGAAAGGTTAAAAAATGTAAATTTATTTAGTTTGGAAAAACGGCGCATCAGAGGGTATATGATAACATTACACAAAGATATTCGGGGCCAGTACAAACCATTAACAGGAAATCTATTCATAAACAGGGCTATACATAGGACACAAGGTCACGCATTTAGGCTGGAAGAAAGGAGATTTAATCTAAGGCAAAGAAAAGGTGTGTTTTTTTTTTTTACAGTAAAAACGATAAGGATGTGAAATTCTTGGTGGTTTTATCAGACCATACAGATGCTTCAACAGCAATTGGATAAATACTTGCAAAAACATAACATACAATTATATAATTCCTCATTAGTGGGGTAATAGCTACTTGATACAAGGAGATATCTGACTGCCACTTTTGGTGTCAAGAAGGAATTTTTTCCTAGTTTGTAGCAAAATTGGAAGCGCTTCAGACTGAGTTTTTTGCCTTCTTTTGGATCAACAGCAAAAACATATGTGAGGAAGGCTGAACTTGATGGACACAAGTCTCTTTGCAGCTGTGTAACTATATGAAAAGTATTGCATCCAGTGCTTCTCTATGAGAAGCCCCAGCACAAAGCGATCAGGAAAAGTAACCTGCTGCCTGTATGATTGACAGCTTGGAGGGTGCAACCATGTCAGTTTACAAAAGTGCTGCTTTATTGTGAAACCAGCACTTATATGACAAGGAGGTGACAACTCTGTTAACTCTAAAAATAGTTTGGCTGTGGGCAGCTCTCAGTCATGGCAAGATCCAAACACATAATAGAGTAACAGCGTTCAGAGTGATAAAATAAAAAGCGTATGAGTTAACAAATATACTTTAGTATATAACTATGTAAAATTTGTTATCATGGTTGTTCTCATATTCAAGGAATAATAGACTGAAAAATATAATTTCTCTTTTGAGTGAAATAAAAGATCATGATGTGTAAAAAACACACACAAAAATGTGTGGATCACACATATACCTTACATTGTCCTATTATATTCTCCAGGACTGTGGGAGATTATTTGATTAGCTCAGAGTTTTATTTAAATTAATAATTGAGGCATCAATCTTAATACTAATAAACTGTAGTTTTAATTATATTACAGTCCAAAAGTGATTTTCCTTTTTGTCTCTATAAGATAAATAGTGCCTGACCCAATTTAGTAACCACTTTTGCTCACGTAGCAAAACCCGTGATGATGTGTCGTTTCAAGGACTTGGAAAATGCTAGAATAATGAAATTATGTGTAAGGATAAACTGAACCAATCCATCAAATCTCATGTGGGAAATAAAACTAAAAATAAACAAACTGTTTAAAAAGGCAACTGTTCTCACCTGGATTGTCTTTTTCTGTGTCAGAGTCAAGTTCTTGGCAAGAAACACACAACAATTTTTTCTGTCTGTCTTGCAATAATATAGTCTGTGGACAGAATATGAGGAATTTTGAGACAAAAGGTCAAAATACTTACAACAGCAATATTTTTTGTCTTTCCACACCATATATTCACTCACCCCACAAGTATCACAGCTGTCCCCAAGCATCTTATATCCCTTAAGTAGGTAATCTCCCATTAAACGGCTGATGCGGTCCTGACGCTCCCGCCTTGCTCTCAGAATTTTCAAGTCTGATTCAGATGGAGGAGACCAGGAGTCATCATCATCACCACCACCTGACAAAACGATAATTGGAACCAGGGTAAGAAACAGATGACAAGAGAGAAAATAAACACTGGTATATAAAAGCAGTTAACATGATAAGGAAAGAGAGAAAAGACCAAACAAGAAGGACAAATGTAGAATATCGTGAAAAAGCTAATCCATAGAGCTTTGGAACCGGGGCAAAGAAAGCGAAAATGAATGAGTACGTTTGCAGCATGAATGATTCAAGTTTGAGGAACAGGAATGATGGATACGAAGGGATTTCTTGAAGTATAGGAATTAAAATATTAATTCAGGGCTCGACAAATCCCAGGCGTCAGGTCGCAATTGCGACTAGAAATTTTGTCCTAGTGCCTGGGATTTAAAGCCCTTCAGCTAAAGGCAGGATGGGGGAACAATGAAGCCGGCTGATCGTCCTGAGGAGCATGGACGGCCGGCTTAGAGAGCATGCAGGCCGCCCTGGGGAGCATCACTGTGGTCGGCTGGGGCAGCTCGCGAAGGAGCAGTGATCTTTAAGCAGCTCCCCTCTGCTCCCTAGTGCTGTTTAGTGATGCCGGGAGCTGAAATATGACATCATTACGGCTCCCATAGACAAGTTGTGGAACTGCACTCAGCCCTTCGCCCTGGAATCCAAGGGTGCTCTTGGATCAGTCCCAGTACCGAAGAGACCAAATATAGCATATATTAGTAGAAAAGTAATCCAGGCACTCCAAAATGTTCCAAAGAATATGCAATTTTATTGGACCCAAGAACCAAAATGCAACGTTTCGACCCTTAAAGGCTTGACAAAGGCCCTAAGGGGTCGAAACGTTGCATTTTGGTTCTTGGGTCCAATAAAATTGGCCATTCTTTGGAATATTTTGGAGTGCCGTCATTACGGCTCCCAGCATCACTACAGGGAGCAGATAGGAGCCGCATGAAGATCACGGCTCCCTCACACACAGGATGAGCGAGCAGCTCCACTGAACCCAAGGGAAAGTTCATTCAGCTCTCCCAAAGGTAGGGAGGCTGAGTGGATTCAAATTAAAATGGAAAATGTGTGTGTCTCTGTCTCTCCCTGTCAGTGTGTGTGTGTGTGTGTGTGTCACTCCCTGTCAGTATGTGTCTCTCTCTCCCTGTCAGTGTGTGTGTGTGTGTGTGTCAGAGTGTGTGTGTCAGAGACTGTGTCTTTTTGTGTCTGTTTAGGTACCTGCACGCCTCCGATCACGAGAGAAGTGTTTGTACTCACTTTCTTTCCCACGCCAAGCCAGTTTTCCGCGGCTTGTCCTGCCTGTGGCGAAAGTAACATCACCACTGGTTCTTGGAGGGCTTGCTTGCCAGCCTTTTGCCTCAGGACTATGACCCAGGTGTTAGACTTTGGTTCAAAACTATGAAAAGGCTTTGTTCGTGCCTTTTGTACTGTATGGTTCGGTATTTGGGGCTTGCTGAATGGATCAGACTAATGTTGTTCGTATACCGAAAGAACCGACTACCCAGAACAGTGCTGTTTATTAACCCCATTGACCTCGCTAACTGCAACAATCTAAGTGGTTAGCTGGGTGGCCGTCGTTCGTATGTGCGAACACGTGGCGGCAACCATCTTTAGCTGTGTTTTGTCGTCAAGTGCATAGAACTATAAATCGGACAATCAACGGTGTGAACACCACAGAGATGTCCAACTCTACATATGTTCAGCTGGATTTGTATGGAGAAGAGTGGCGTTCGGTGGGAGCAAGCTCCCAAACGAGGGATAAAGATATAAACAGAACCAACCCATGAACCGCTACATTTGTTATTTTGACTATTTCGGATTCCGATCAAAACAAGACTTCCATAGAAATCCTGAACCTGGGTGATTTTTAGATTTGTTGGTCCCCCCGATCAGGGCTATCAGGAGATATGACTATAATGGTGTTTCCTTGAGTTTTAGGGGTACTTTTGGGGTATTGCTAAAATGTGTGTTTTTGTGTCTGGAGATAATGGAGTTAGTACAGTACTACTTGATTATCACAAGAAAGTAGGGGGAGCTCCCTTCCATAGACCCGGAGGGATCCCTCGTTCCCTATCAGCACTGATAACCTGTAACTCTGAGCTGTATAGGAAGTTTGCCGCATCCCAATGAACTTTACTCATGGATTACTTTGGCTGTGTACCTCCAAACCAAACACTTTTTGGACAGTTTGTTCATGTGGATTAGCCCTGTCTAGGGATGTAGCTATAAATAGAGGGTACTTGTGGGGAACATTGTATTTTGTGGATAATATTGTAAAGTGCCAGGATGTCTAGGTCTTAAATTATCCTGTCCCTGTTGCAGTGATGTCCCAGACACTGCGGCGCCAGAGTGGGCTTGCATTGTTTTTCTTGGTAACGCTAATATATAACAAAAGATGGGCTTGGCACACTACCTATATACAATATATACAAAAATACGTACCAGGGTGCAAACCAGCGATTTGTATATACAGAAAATAATAAGGTGCATTCCTGGATTTGAAAAATTACTTCTGATCTTGAAAAAGACCTTGTTTTGGTCGAGACTTCGATCCACTGAACTTTAATTTTTCTGCACAATAAATCTAGTAATTTTTCAAATCCAGGAGTGTGCGCGCGTGTTTGTGCTTTGTTTCAGTAAGAATTGTTTTACTTCCTTCTCTATACCTCAGCTAGTGTTTGGGGTAAGGCTATAGTCACTTTGGAGATTCATTCCCAGTGTCAGGGGGGTGAGAGTATGGGAAGCTCTGATGTCTGCCATGATAGACAATCTATAAAATGTCATGCATACGTACTGAAATGATACAGCTCCTTTAGAGGTGTAAAGGTTGCTTAGCACGGTAAATGGGGACATGGTCACCTCTCCCGCTATCAGACTAACCAAAGTTGGGAAGTGTTGAGAGACTGATTTATATTTGCCTCTATCAATTATTTAAAGAATTTGTATTTAAAACATCATGCCTGTATTCTTTTAACCAAAAGACAACGGAGGGCTCTGAACACACTATAGGGATTCTTCACAGACTTCACTAGCAACCTGCAGTATCCTGTGTAGAAGCGATACATGGCATACATTTATGTGTGTGTAAACCAGGGGCATTGCTAGGGTCAGAAAACAAAATCACAGGGTTTAAGCACCACATATAATTTGAAAACTCCTTCCTAAAGTCCCACTCTTGCCCATCCATACACACACACAAAGAGATTCACATGCATATGCAGACAGGATATGTCCATACAGATATAATATGTTTATAGTCTGGTAGCAAATGTAACGATATATATATATATATATATATCACACACACATACATATATACACATACAAACACCCTTGGGTTTCTTACAAATACCCACATGCTAGCTATTTGATCAGATTTACCTACTTTTGTTACGCTTACTGCATATGACAAAATGCTAGTTCTTCAACAGTATTTCTGACCGTGTTAAGATATTTTGTGTATCATATAAACTTTAAAACATTTACTACCTCAAAAGTTCTCTAAATAACAAATATTAAATAGAGTAAATTTACAAAAGGTGTTTTTAGGTGTCCATAAAAAGCTAAAAAAAACACACACAAAATCGTTTCCTAGCTTTGCATCCCTCTTTCCAAATAAATGTTATTTTTTCTTATTCAAAGAATTTAAAACGGTTAGCAATGCAGGAGTGGTAAATTTGCTAGGTTCTACATGGCAGCAAACTGTAATTGTTACTAGCAAAAAAAATTCCTTTTTCACAATTGGGCTATTTTAGCCAACATTTGCCATTCTAAATTTAATTTGCTACAAATCAGAGTTCAGTTAATAAAACCTGAATGATTATTCATTAAACTGAGAATTAAATGTTTTAATCCATGCTGAAAAATTCTCCAACCCAAGTTATTTTTGACATAACTTTGCAATTCGCTGGTCAATGAACTATAACTGCGTTAATAAAAGACATCTAAAAGCCAAACATGTTGACTGAAGCAAAGAGGAAAAAAAATAAAATATGCAAAATATCTGTCTGCCACAGTCTAGATCTTGCAAGCCTTAGCCCTAACAAAAATAGGCTGCATTTCATATATTGCTACAGCATGTATAGAACCACAGCACATGAAGACTACATATCCCATAATGCTAATTCAGCAAGCTCAGCCATTACTAAAGGATCCCCCCTATGAAAAAATGTTACTATCACAGTTTGCATGCATAGCATTGTGGACATGTGTAATATGCCTGCTTGTAAGGATTTTTTTTTCTCACCCTGCAGTGCCATGCTGCCCAGGAACTCGGACACCGTACACCGTATTGCACTGAAACTAGCAAAACGGAAGTGGGTGCATTGTGCTACACTGAAACAGGTCCCCCCGCTGTCCGTGTAGGACTAGCTGTGAACGAGCAAGGCGAAGGAACGCTTCTACTGCGTGCGCCTTCCCAAGGAAGTGACGTCATTTGAAAATATATTTTTTTATTTTTTTTGCATTGGGTTCTAGAGAGTACAAATACCGACCGTAGTTAACATAAAGACCGGAGGGCGTACTATTACGCCCGGCGGTTAAATAGCAAGTATTAGAGGACGTAATAGTACGCCCTCCGGTCTTAAGGGGTTAATTGATATGCTATGCTTATTGTGTGGAATTTTTCCAATCTTGACCTTTGTTGTTGTTGTCATAATTACCCTTGCAAATATTCAAAATGACCCCCCACCCCACACACAAATAATTGCCTAGAAAACAATACCAGAATTGTGGCATATATATTTATCAAGTTACTATTTGTAAAATATAGCATAACTTTGGAATCTAAATGTTGATTATTTTCCCTCAGGTGTGCTATGAGACAGTGAAGAATAAGGCAAAAGTAAGAGTTTTGTGTTACACAAAAAGGAACATAAAAAAGGATGAATAGATCATATTGGTATAGTGACAGAGTAATAGGTCCTAGACCGGGAATCCCAGGTTTTGTAAATGTGTTGCAAGGTATCATGAAACTGTGTACAAGTTTTCATTGTATGTATGCACCAGAATACTCAAATCATATGAGGGACACCACTTTTTTTTCCATGGCAATGCAGATATAAGAAGCAAATACAGGGAAAGTTCAAAATTTTAGTAACCGTAAATCAGCTGTGGTGGGATGGGTTGTTTATAGAGTACCAATACAGAGTGTACCTCCCTGCCTCCTCCCTTAATCTGTTCTTAACAGATATACAACATTTTTCCCAGCGCGAGTTATAAATAACATAGCAACTGTTCAGTAATAGCTGTTCAATGACTAAGCTCATGGGCTTTTGCTTTCTTTTCTCTTTTATTATTTACAGCTGCAAAAAAAAAATACAGAAGCTGACTATATAGGGCTACCTATCTTGCCAGTAACGTGATTGTGGTCCTCAGACATTATTTGTTCTCAATGCAAGTTATTGGTTTTGCTTAGCGTTATGGCCCCCAACCTTGCAAGAAAATACTTTTTTAAATAACTACTACTAATAAAATATGAGCAAGTAATAATAAATTAAGGCAATGTAGAATAAAATCTATTATGTAGGGACATGTCCTGTATGTTGCTTTGGCTGCATGTTTCACTATCACCGCAACGATAGAAGGCCTTAACAACATTTATTTAGCGGTTACGCCTGATTACCAATGATGCAATTTACCTACTACATCCTGTTGACCAGAGGACTGATTCTTCAAGCCTCCAAAACATTAAAACCACTGGATTGCCATAAATCATTTACATTTTATAGTGATGGTCAATTTAGTTTGTTTCTCTTTAGTTTCTATATAGTTATATATCTTTTATACAACTACAAAAAAGTTAAAACCATATATTGCCAGTGACCAGTGCTGCTCCAAATACTTGAAACGCAGTTCACTATTGTTTTCTTACTTTATTCTTTTTCTTTTTGTGCTCTAGCTTTCCATTATACAGCCAATTACCCACTGGTATGAGTGACTCACATTCTCTTTTGTTTAAAGCCCTTTAGTTACTTACCTAATCCCAGCACCGATGTCCCTCTGCGCTGGGTATCGGCTCCGCCTCCACCAACATCCTGCGGGCACTAATGCATATGCGCGGCAAACACCACGCACGGATTAGACCTCCTCTTAGCTATCAATGCTTTCCTATGGGGAAAAATCTCACGCTGGATGTCCTCATGCAGTGCGTGAGGACGTCCAGCATCAGTTACTGGACCAAAGGTCCGTTTAGATGTAGGATGAGCCTCCAATGGCTGTCTAATTTCTGAATTCGCCTTAGAAGTGAAAATGCAAAGCAAATACCACCGTCATTTGAAAATCCATTTGGTAGGCAAGACCCTCCAAAGTTTTAATCATCTTCCTATTCAGTGGCATTTTATTCCGACTCCCTATCTCCCTATCTATCAAACCAAGCTACTTCAATATTGTTGCATGGAGATTCAACCTTTACAATGAATGCTAAATACCGAGATCCAGAGGGAAGATTTCTCATTGTAGATGGCTCCCTTTAAAGCTATCTGTCATGACAAATACAACATAATCTTAAATGCTAGAGAATTACATTTCATCTATACATTATACTAGAAAAATTGTTAGAAAATGCCTAGATTTTCAGAGGAAGTAAACAAGCCTTTTCTCCCTCCTCTCAATCATTTTAGTCTTCAAATCCTGTGCCAATCAGAACAGAGATTAGATGGCTGCGCTTTGCATGTCTGTTATCAGGAGAACTATCCTCTGGGCGTTTTTTCTGCTTAAATTCACCCTAAGGGAAATTAATGCAAAGAATAATTGTGATAATCTCAAGTATCACTGTCACAATGGTTAACTCTGAAAATACAGTAATAAACATAAAGTCTAAAACAAGGCTATGTAGTCTACAACTGAGTGCAGAATCAAAAAATATATAATTAAGTACAATCCATAGTGAGTACAACACACCAGTTAAATGTTAACTGAAGCGACTTAAGGAGCTTTGTCAAAGAGAGCTCAATTCCGTTTTGAAAGTCCTACCTGTAATTACCACTCCAATCAGATCTGATGCGTCTCCAGATTTGCATCCAGTCCTGAACACAGACTAAACCACCGAGAACTCAGCTGCTAGGATCTCAAATGGTGACCAAAATAGCTATAGGTAGGGCATTCCCTCCAGTATCTAAATGACCGCCATTTGTTTAAATATACATAGGGATTAATAAGGAGAGAGCACAGGTAACTTTTTTCCTTTGGTTTTTACTATCTGTATTGGAGCTGATGTGTACTGTGGTTGTTGCTGCCGTTCAGGAGTGATGGGAGTGAGTGCAGGAGTTTTCTTTTTGTATTTGTATTCACCAAAATAGCTATGCAGCAAAAAAATTGCTAGTCCAGCGAAACAGTCACCCCCCCAGACAATCTGCGAGATATATATCACTCTCTTTATCCGTATGACGTGAAAGAGGTCCGATTTTTGGTATAGACTACTAGAGGCTACATCTTGTTGAGTTAGGTCCCTGGGACTAGTTTCTGTGTCTTCTAACGCCACTTCAACTGGCGTGTATGTTTGTAACTGCATCGCATATTTAAAGGACCACTATAGGCACCCAGACCACTTCAGCTTAATGAAGTGGTCTGGGTGCCAGGTGCATCTAGGATTAACCCTTTCTGCTGTAAACATAGCAGTGTGATAAAGTGAAGGCAGATAGATCTTTTAACCCCAGGGGAAGTACGTGTAGTTTGTGTGTTGCACAACACAAAGCTTTGTTTAGTTATGGGCCCCTGGGGTGGAGCATTTGGAGAGAAGGGTGGGCCAATGCTCCACTCCACAGTTTAGTGGTTTTCTGGGGAGACATAGATCCAGGCCAGGGTTTTTTGGACCGTCTCCAACCCACTGCTCAGCTGCAGTTAATCAGCTGTTGCAGTGGGAATAAACCCCTCCCTGCTAGGCAGGTAAAGAAGAGGGATTGCTGGCTTCCTCCCAGGAAGCAGGTAGGAGAGAGGCTGTTCTCTCCAGATAGAGAGTCAAGGAGACTAGGCACTGGGAGTGCAGAAAGGAAGCAGTCAAGGCTGGCTTGGAGCACTGGGAGTGCCGGAGGAAGCAGTCAAGGCTGGCTTGGAGCACTGGGAGTGCAGGAGGAAGCAGTCAAGGCTGGCTTGGAGCACTGGGAGTGCAGAAAGGAAAGCAGTCAGGGCAAGGCTGGCTTGGAGCACTGGGAGTGGAGAAAGAAAAGCAACAGGCTAGCTAGCAGAGTGTTGCTATCTAATAAGGTTGGTGCAGTATGTTTTGTTAGTTTAACCCTGATAGAGAGGGTCATTCAAAGTGAGTCAGTGCTCAGACGAGCTAGGTTTTTGTTTAAAGGGAAACCTGTTATATTTATGTTTTCATTTGCTGCTGCCTCATATGTAAACTTACAAATAAAGTGCCTGGAATGAAGTTGCATTAAAAGACTGTGCATGTTTTTGCCCTAGAGGACCGTGCTTCCTGCTGACAAGGATCACAGCAGTTTCAGAGAAACTGCTATGTTTACCTATGGGTTAATCCAGCCTCTAGTGAGAAGACGCCAGCGTCCATAGGAAAGCCTTGAGAATGCTTTCCTATGGACTGGCTGAAGCGCGTGCGGCTCTTGCCGCGCATGCGCATTCAGCCAATGGCATCAGAAGAGGTAGGAGAGTCCCAGCGCCGAGGGAGCCCGGCGCTAGAAAAAAAGGAAGGGATTAACCCCTTCCTCCCCCTTCAGCGCCACGGAAGTGGGACCCTGAGGGTGGGGGCACACTCAGGGCAATATAGTGCCAGGAAAACGAGTATGTTTTCCTGGCACTATAGTGGTCCTTTAACATTTTTTTTTATCCATTGTGAGATTTTACACTGTCCATTTCCTGTATGTTTTCAGTGGTTAAAGATTATAAAGACCAGAATGATTTATTGCAGCAGCTTTGGACAGGCAATCTAAAAATGGAGAGCGGGAACTGATACTTTCTATTGTGTTCTTGCATAGCAAGACCATTTAATGTTATCTCACATATATGTTGTTGTTGTTGTTATTATTATTATTATTATTATTATTATTATTATTATTATTATTACTGATAGTGGGAGCTGACAAAAGCTGAAAAATCAGGACATGATTTCTAAACTGCCACCACTCCCTCATTTTCAAGCCCACCTACACAAATCTTATATCAAAACGTTCAGATATCCATGCTGCCACTAAAACAAACTCTATTCTAGCCACCTCAAATTTGAAGGGCAATATCTAAACTGTGACTGTGCCTTCATTTTTAATATTTCAGAGACATACTATGCATCAAGTTTTTAAAATACGACCGTTTGAAGATGGCAACCGCCAGTAAAGTGAGCAATGTGGAGCAGTTTGTTTTTAACCGCTTTTCTCTGCCCTATTTGAAATCTATTAGTTCCTGTTGGCAGTTTGTGGAATGTTTGAGGGATTTGAAATGGCGGCTGCAGAAACCCTGTGTAACCAGGCTGCAATATGAAGATGCTGTTATATATGTATTAATAAAGTGAGTACTTTGTTATACAGGAATTATTGACTGATATGTACAAAACATCACAGTGGCAGCAGGGATAGCTGAACGTTTTGATTTAAATTGGTACATTTATATCCCTACATGGCAAGACCACTTACTATTATCTCACAAAGGAAAATTATTATCACAAAGGAAAAGTAATCCCCTTATGTTTTCCGTTTATAGCCCTGCCATCAGACCCGTCCCGGTCCCCCCAGGATATCCCGTATCATCTACCCTGCCAGCTACACAGGGACAGCCGCCCCTAGGCCTCAGACTAGGGCATGCTTTAATTGCAGCCAACTGGGCCATTTCCGGAGAGTGCCTAGACAGCCGACCACTAGACCTTCTAATCCTGTATTCGGCTATCCTATGTACCCCAATGCCCCTGCAGCCACATATGGTTGTTTTCCTCCACAGGTACTCCCCCCTTTGGTTGAGATGCCGTGGATCCCCCCTCCCCTGTCACATACTTCGTATTTCCCTCCTCAGGAATATGCCAAAGCCGTATACCAACCCTCTCCAGCTGATACCCGCAGCTATGCTCACCCTTCCCCTGATAGTTATGATACAGATAATTACCAACCAGATGACCGTCCTGTACCCAGTCAACATCACCCTATACGCCAGCCTCATCAGGCCAGTCACTCCACCACAACCACACGTCACTACACTGGCCCTGATCAATCTCATCTAGACCTTGTGCAATAGGTACCCAGCAAACCTGTGTCTAACACCCCTGTCTAACACCCCTGTCACGGCAGTGTCTACAGGGGACAAAGGGGGGCCTCTTGCCACAGTTGTCCTACCCGTAGAGGGTCATCCTACTACCTTTTTAGTTGACACAGGTGCAGCCCGCAGTGTTCTCAGAGAACAAGACCTGCCTGACCCATCTTGCTTATCCGACATAGATGTCTCTTGTGTTGGTGTCGATGGCACCCCTAGGAACAAACCATTAACTAAGCTCTTGCGAGTGGGTTCCGACATACTCTCACGCTTTGTTGTCTCTTCCACTTGTCCAGTTAACCTTTTAGGTGCTGATGTTCTGTCCCGTCTTCAAGCCTCTATCTCTTTCACTGCTGATGGCCAGGTCCAATTATTAACCCCCCTCTCTCGTAAAGATACTTCTGTCCTCTGCTCTCTGCCCTTACTACTACACATGACATTCCCCACCGAGGAGGTAAGGGTCCCAGACACCCCCAGTGCCCTGGATAGAGTTCCAGCTAAACTGGTCCACGGGTCCTGATGACATTGGACGCCTACAAGTCCCACCTGTGGTAGTTACACTAATAAAGGGAGCTAATCTACCACAACGACCACAATACCCATTGAAGTCTGCACAATCTCTCGCCATCTCAAAACAAGATGAAAGTCTATTGGCAAAAGGTGCTCTGGTCAAGTGTGTTTCACCATGTAACACCCCTCTATTTCCAGTAAAGAAGAAGACTGAAAAAGGCCAACCGGACCAATACCGTATGGTTCAAGACCTCCGCGCTGTTAATGATGTCATCAACCGAGACACTGCTGTTGTCCCGAATCCAAATGCACTGTTGTCACAAGTCCCTCCCACAGCAAAATCTTCACTGTGTTTGATCTTGCCAACGCCTTTTTCAGCATGCCCTTGGATCCCTCTTGTCAATATCTGTTTGCCTTTACACACGATCATCAACAGTATACTTGGACTGTTATGCCTCAAGGTGCACAGAATTCACCAACCCAATTCGCAAAAGCTATGTCTGCTGACCTAGAACCTTGGCAGAAGTCTCACCCTGACGTGGTCCTGCTACAGTATGTGGATAATCTACTCCTCTGTGTGGATGATCTTCCAACTGCTGAACAAAATTCTGAAGATCTCCTGTTTCCTCGCTGACGAAGGTTGCAAAGCTTCCAGAACGAAACTCCAGTGGTGCCGGCCCTCTGTGGTCTTCTTGGGACATTGCCTTACCCATGGCACGCGTCATCTAACAAGGAACAGAGTACTTGCCATTACAAACCTTACCCTTCCGACCACCCATCAGGCTCTTCATGCCTTCTTGGGCCTCATCACATACTGCAGGTCCTGGATCCCTGAGGCTTCTCAGCTCATGCAACCTCTCTATGATGCCTTGAAGACTGAACCCTTTTCATTGTCTCCTACAGCTCGCACCTGTTACCATGCCCTTCAAAGAGCCATCTCCTCTGCCCCTGCCTTGGGCCTACCTGACTATCAACTACCGTTCAAACTGTTCGTTTCAGAAAAGATGGGCCATGCTTCAGGGGTCCTTACCCAATCACATGGTTCCCGTCAACGTCCTATTGGTTACTTCTCGTGCATGCTAGACCCCGTGGCTAGGGGTGGTCCCTCGTGTTTGCGTGCTTTTTTTGCTGCCAGTGCCCTGCTGGACAAAACAAATGACTTTGTCCTCGGACATAAACTCACTGTCCTTGCTCCCCATGATATCACGGCCATCCTGAATAAAGTCCAACCAAAACACCTCTCCTCCCAAAGACACCTCCGCCTCCAAACCTCCCTCCTCTTGCCTGATAACGTTACTCTACAAAGATGTTACTCTTTGAATCCGGCCTCTCTTCTGCCACTTCCCAAGGGGGGAGTACCACAATACTGGTACAGTCTGGACATAAATCCTGATGTTCACATGGACCTTTAAGTGAAAAAGCCTACGGTTCCACATGATGAACAGCCCAAGAACTACTTACATTGCACCCTGTGGTTCAAGAGCACCCCAGGTCCTGACCCATACTATGAAGAAGAACTATTCAGCCTCGTACAAATACGCATTACACTAACCGACCTGTTTTGTGACTCCAAAGGAAACATTGTTCTCTTAGTCTACCTGCCTATGGAGGTTTCGCATTTATATCACCATTGGGAGGTGGCTGTTCCTCATATCTCCTTCACCAAGTCTCCAGAATCTCTCATGGAAAGAACTTGGCCCAATGGCCAAAACATGGAGTACTGCAACCCAAGAACAGCTCACATTAACAGGGGTCACCAAAAGAACCATAAATTGCAACACAGTCGGTTACCCTCGATATCACACAGAGATATGTGAAGACATCCCTCCTACAGAACAGGACCCGGATGCCCCTCGTGACTGTTTTGAACAGATGAAAATGGAAACAACCCATCTTCCAACAGTGCATGAGGCTGCTCTATTCAACCCTGACTACACACTGTTTGTGGATGGTTCTAGATTTGCAGATGAACAGGGACAATATCATACCGGATATGCAGTCACCACAGAAGACCAAATACTCCAAGCATTTGCACTTCCATCATCTAAGTCACACAAGAATAGCCCTCACGGTAGCATGCAAGATGTCTGAAGGGAAGCGTGTTAATAATTACACAGACTCAAGGTATGCTCTGGGCGTGGCACATGATTTGGCTTAATCTGGAAAACCAGGGTGTTCCTTACAGCAACAGGTACCCCTGTGAAACATGGCGCAGCTTTAAAAGAATTGATGGACGCTTTACTGCTTCCTGAAGAGGTGGCTATACTGAAGGTAAAGGCCCACAGGAAACTAAACTCAGAAGAAGCAAATGGCAACCATTTAGCCGACCAGGCCACTAAGGATGCGGCGCGCCAATGTCGGGAAGTGGACAGAAGTGTCTGTCGGAAAGACTCCTATTTACACCATGCGAACCCTACCCATCGATCTCAAGCTCCTAAGGGAACAACAGGTCGCCGCCACCCCACAAGAAAAGCAAAGTTGTAAAGACAAAGGAGCAGCCCTCCAGAATGAAGTATATACAATAAACCTCAAATTCTGTCTACCCAAGAATATGTACCCAGCTGTCATCCAGTGGGCCCATGGACCACCTCATGAACTCTTGGATTGATAAATATTTTGAAGCTCCCGGAATCACAACCTTGTCACGAAATTACTGCAGATCCTGTACTATCTGCGCCAGATGTAACTCCGGGAAAATAATTAAAGCTGCACCAAACCATTTAGCCAAGCCGCAGTACCCTTTCCAAAGAATCCAAATTGATCATATCCAAATGCCAAAGAGTGGCTGGTATGCATATGCACTGGTCATAGTGGATATGTTTTCAGGATGGCCAGAAGCCATTCCAGTCGCCAATCTCACTGCCAAGACCACGGCAAAGCACCTACTTACTGAAATCATCTGCAGATACGGAGTTCCTGAGGTGATCGAAAGTGACCAGGGAACATCCTTCACCGCCTTACTAACCAAAGAAATCTGGGCAGCACTGGGGGGTGACCCTTGCATTCCACACACCCTGTCACCCACAGAGTAGTGGTAAGGTAGAATGCATGAATGGCACTCTGAAAGCCAGAATGCTTAAGATGGCCCAAGAAACTAACCTACCCTGGCCGGAAAGTCTTCCCATCAGGCCCGGACTGGCCATCGGGCACACCGGGCAAATGCCCGGTGGGCCGCGGTGGCCATGGGCCGAGGCCGGCAGGGGAGCTCCCAGGATCTCCCCTGCCGGTCTATGCAGGGCCGGCACTATCCGAGCGCCGGCCCCGCTGTTTTCCATGAAGGGCCGGTGAGGGAAATCAAAGATCTCCCTCACCGGCCCACATGCTGTATAATGCGGCCGCGGGCAGGGGGAGAGGGAGGGAGACAGCCGCTAGGAGAGAGGACCCGGCGGAGCTCTAAATTAGAGCTCCGCCGGGTTCCTCTCGCGAGATCCGGCGCGTTGCCATGGCAACAACCGGATCTCACCACAAGGACCACCAGGGAACCCCCCCTCCCAGTCCCAGGGATCAGTGTGCCGGTCCCCCCCTCCCAGGCTAAAGGTAAGAAGGGAGGGGGGGACATAATGCCTACTTTATTTATTTAACCCCCCTCCCCCCTACACACACAATCCATTCTAACATTTATACAGCACTCTCACACCCATCACTCTCTCACACACATCACTCTCACACACATCACTCTCACACACAGCACTCTCTCACACACATCACTCTCACACACATCACTCTCACACACATCACTCTCACACACAGCACTCTCTCTCACACAGCACTCTCTCTCACACAGCACTCTCTCTCACACAGCACTCACTCACACAGCACTCTCTAACACACAGCACTCTCTAACACACAGCACTCTCTAACACACAGCACTCTCACACAGCACTCTCACACAGCACTCTCTCACACAGCACTCTCTCACAGCACTCTCTCACACACAGCACTCTCTCACACACAGCACTCTTTCACACAGCAGTCTCTCACAGCACTCACGCACTCTCACACACATAGCACTCTCTCACACAGCACTCTCTCACACAGCACTCTCTCACACAGCACTCTCACTCACGGCACTCTCACTCACGGCACTCTCACACACATCATACACAGCACTCTCACACTCATCAGACACACACACATCACACAGAGCACTCTCACACACCGCACCCCTCAGACACACATACTGCACCCCTCACATACACACAGAACCCCCTCAACACACTGCACCACACACATACACAATACTTCCAAATATATATTTATATATATACACACACACTCTTAACATACACACTCTGGATCCCCTATACACACACTAGATTCCTTGTAAGCAAACACATACTACACCCCTAAACATACACTACATCACCTATACACACACACACACACACACACTATAGCCTGTATGCACACACTTGCTATATCCCCAATACACACATTCTCTACAGCCCCTAGCCACATATGCATCACATTACACCACAAACACAACATGACTAAAACCAACCTTATTACACAATACCGCACCACAATCAGCTCACGCAATACCACAAGCAGGCTCCAAACACATGCACAATACTCTTTCCTGGCATTTTTGTTTCCTGGTATCTTTATAGAGACACCAGAGACAATTTGCAAGGAAACACAGTGCAAGCATGTTATTAAATTTGCTTTCACTGTGCAGAACAAATACAGGGCTTTTTTTATCATGCTAGAGCTCTTCAGCAGAGCTCTGCGCATGGTCTGCCCTGGAAGAGCATTGAACCAACATGCTCACTTTGAGAGGGGGCGTGTTTGTCATTGGTGATGACAAAACACACCTCCTCTGCCCCCGCCCCCATCTTAGTGGGCCGCTGTGTTAAAAAAATGCCCGGGCCGAATTTTTCTCCCAGTCCGGCCCTGCTTCCCATAGCAATATTTAGTGTAAGGTACACTCCAAGAGGGAGATTTAGCTTTTCCTCCTACGAGATCTTATTTGGTACAGCACCCAGGTTAGGCTGTTACTTTCCTCAACAACTCCAAATTCAGTCAGATGCAATGGTAGATTATATAACTGCACTCTCTCATGCTTTGACCAAAATCCATGCACAAGTGTTTTCTTCTATTCCAGATCCAGAGTCAAATACAGGCACACATAAGCTACTTCCTGGTGACTGGGTCATGGTCAAGAAGTTTCTCAGAAAACATACCCTTGAGCCAAGATTTGATGGTCCATTCCAAGTGCTACTGACTACGTCTACCTCTGTAAAGTTGGCTGGGAAGAGTACCTGTATACACGCCTCGCACTGTAAGAAAGTTCCTGATCCAGAGGAAGCAGATTCCGCCAAACCATGAGCTTCCTGTGCCTATTTTTGCTGCTAAGCCTATTAAAGGCCCAACAAGTTGCTATTACCAAAGATAATCATGTTTACACATTCTGGTATAACTCTTCAAACACACATGTAGCTACTTTTACCTTTGATTACTGTGATATTGTTCCTTGTACCTTTCCACAGTCACAACACTCAGCAATATACAAAGACATACCGAACAAGAAGGACCCCTACGTTTGTGTGACAGACGGCCATTGGGGACACCACTGTGGTACCTGGAAAGCAGGGGGTTGGAACACAGGGCGACCGTGGGGCTACAGACCACAAAGTGCCTTAGATAGGATTGACAGATATGGGAAACCCTTGTTACACAGAATTACCTTATGTAAGCCAACAGAGTCTACCCCAATGAAACTCACCTTAAACATAGAACATCCCAGCTCAGGGGACGCTGGCGAGTATGTATTGGGAATGTATTGGAAAGGGGGTGGCTCATATGACAAGTTGGGGACCTTCTATTTACAAGACATGCTTACGTCACCTGACTGGGTAGACTCTACACACATGACGATTAACCCTTTAAAACCACACATTAAAACCCTTAAAGACATGGTAGCCATTGCTAATCCCACGTTTGAAGACACTATGGCTGTGGAGACTGGGTTTTCAGATACTAATCTATGGCTTGAGTGGATGAGGTATAATGCTAATTCACACAATAAAACTAACTGTTATGTTTGTGGAGGGGCCAGACCCCATCTGGGTACAGTGCCCTTCAGTCTACCTTCAGATGTTGAAATATGTTTCCTAAGTGTCACAAATTCATCCGCTTATAGAAATGTGGTTAATGACATTTACTATCCACACAGGAAAAGTTGTGCTGAGCAGCAACCTAATCCACAGAAGGGTTAATGCTGAGCAGTAATTGTGCAAATGAAACCTGGTGTCATGTATTCATCCGCTTAGAGAAAAGTGATTAATGACATTTACTGTCCACACAGGAAAAGTTGTGCCGAGCAGCAACCTAATCCACAGAAGGGTTAATGCTGAGCAGCAATTATGCAAATGAAACCTGGTAACTGACTTTGGGGTCAAAGGCCGGTTACAGCCTATCAGAACTAAAGGAGGGGTATTTAGGCCCAGTTCTCAGCCTGCTCAGTGCCCTGTCGTGGTTTCCCTTGTGGTTGTCTGAGAGCGCGTTCCTGTTTATAGTTTTCTACCTGGTTTTTGACTTTGGCTTTGTTTATTGACTTCTCTATATTCTGGTATCCTGACTCCTGGCTTTCCTCATCGCTGTGTCCCTTTCTGTGTTCCCTGACCTCGGCTAGTATTTTTGACTATTCTTTGTACGTTAAATCCGGCCATTCTAAGGACCGGTAATACGTTACTTATTTGTCATACGTGCTGTACAGTTCTACGTGCTGGATCAAACAGTAATCCTGACACTAAGTCTCTATGCGCAGTCACCAACACACTCATCTGTGTGTGAATCATGGAAAAAGGTATACCCAATAGCCCAAGGGAATATCAAGCCACCTGATGGGATCACGATGTACCCAGGTAACTACACTTGCTACAAAATACATGGAGCCACAGGATAATTTGTGGGTAAATTCCCTTCTGGTTACTGTACTACCTATCGAGAACCTCCCACTGCCCTATTAGTAAATCATGTTAAGTCCGTGGAAGACATTTATTGGCTATGTGGTGACATGCAGCTCAGATCTAAAATGACTGGCCTGTGGTGGGGAGAATGCATTCTGACCAAAGCTATCATGCCCATACATATAATTTCTGACAACCACCAAGGCCCACTTGATTCACCACACACATATTTTAGGGTAAAAAGAGAAACCCTTGTTTGAGGTAGTTTCGACCCACATATATATATCTATGCCATAGGTGTACCAAGGGGGGTACCAAACGAGTTCAAGGCTAGAGATGAGGTTGCAGCGGGATTCGAATCCTTGATCCCACTCATCACCGCTAACAAAAATGTTAATTGGATCAATTATATTTACTATAATCAGCAACGCTTTGTCAATTACACGAGAGATGCCCTCCAGGGCTTGGCAGAACATTTACAGACTACCTCCCAAATTACATTTCAGAATTGAATGGCCTTAGACATGATACTAGCAGAGAAGGGGGGGGCGTGTGTAAAATACTTCCCGATACTATGACATGCTGTACCTTCATCCCAGACAATACAGGCCCCAATGGTAAGGTAACTATGGCCATAGAGAAATTAGAAAGTTTCTCTGATGAATTAACAAAGAACTCAGGAATCCCCAATTCATGGGACAGATGGTTTGGTTGGATGAGTGGATGGCAGAAAACTCTCCTTCAAGTAGGTATGGCTGTTCTTACTGTGTTTATTCTCTTTCTCTTCCTGGCTTGCTGTGTGATGCCCTGTGTGCAGGAATACGTACAGAAGACTGTAAGTCAGACCATTGACCACACCAAACCTACATTCCTACATCAGGATATTGATGATATAGACTGTGACACACCACACACACCTCTTCAGTCCCACCACCTCAAAAAGACAACTACTTCCTTATATGGACAGCATAGGGACAGCGTCTGTCTCCACAGGTAGAAGTCTGACGCGGGAGATGTAGTGGGTTAGCCACTACGGGATACCCGTGCAGTGAAGCGTTTGAGGCCTGTTCAGACAGATGAGCTGCAGCCAAGTAGGGACATTATTAGGGTCAGTTAGTAGTTGTCTCTTTGGTAAATAGTCATTTTAAGGGGGGACTGTTGTAGACAAAAATATTAACTCAATTTATGTCAATAAGATGCCTATTTACTCAGCATACCTACAATCAGCATTATTCAACTTTAAATGTGATTTACCTAAAATGGCCGCTAGGGAGTTTCCACTTCGACATCGACTAACACCCTCACTAACAAGATGGCGCTGGAATCTGGGGGAGACCTCCAAGATACCAGTGACATCACACCCGGTAGGAAGAGCAATAAATGAACCACTTAACACCTAACCAATTATTGATGTATTATTTCATGTTATCTCTGGCAAAGCATATGATTTAATCAATTAATTGATTGATTTCACATCAAGCCTGTTCTCCCTTAAATTAAATTTAAGTCCTGAGTGATCATTCAACATGTATATAATTTGATTACAAGTGTATATGCTTGTCACATAGCTGAGCTGATTACATCATACACATGTCATAGTCATAATCAGTGAGGTGCATCATAAGAAGCTTGTCACTGCCTACAGGGAGGCAGTCACTCACTGTACAGGGAGGGCAACTTATCTATGCAACAGAATTAAATCCAGGAATCCAGGAAAAGTTTACTTAATGGGCAACTGGACTTTCGAGAGTTGAAACATATGGATTAAATCTAACAACAATGAAAATATGATTTTACAGCAGGAACATAAGAGACAGGTATGTTTTATTTTACTGTTGTCTTTCAAAATACTTGTTATCCATGTGAATGTGTTTTAATAATGTTAACCAATATCCTAAAATATTGTTTTAGTAAGATTGTGATTATTACAATATGTGTATTAGATGGAGGAGGCTGGCAAACCTGAAGGATGAAGGAAAAGTGCTGCAACAGAGTAGCTTCTTAGGAAGATAGTCAGTGGAGATAATTTTTATTTTAAGATAACATAGCATTTATCTACTTTTAAAACTGAGGTTACAACACTATTTATTTTGATCTGTATTATGTTATTTTAGTTTTATTATGTTATTTTAGTTTTTGTGAATATTATTGTGATTTAAAGTATTGATGCTGATTCATGTGCTGAGACTTTAAGGGAGGCAGCAGTCTATTTTTACTTTTATAACAAAACCTCTGGTTCTCTTTTAAATAATGTCACTTCTTCAGGTATCAAAATAACAATACAGTGGGACCTCGGTTTACAAACGCCTCGGTTAACATAATTTTCGGTTTACAAAAATGAAATCCATTGAAAATAATACCTCAGTTTACAATTTTTTTTTTAAATACAAAGCAAGTTTCCCCAGGATGCATGGCACCTGGGAGGTTTTATAGCACCGCCCCCTGCATGCTGGAGCCAGCGGGTAGCACGTGACGTTGAGTGTGGAGGTGTTGGAGCAGCTTTTGTATTGAGTTTTGGAGCCATTCTGCTTTTTTTGCTAGATTAGTAATGTTACCTTTGAGAACGTGTGGTAGCCCAGGAATGAGATTTACGCCCATGATGGCATACCATTTGCAAAAGTAGACAACCCAAGGCAGGGCCAGATTAAGAGCCCAGTGGACCTGGTGCTGATAATTATGACGGGCCTAATTACAGAATCATATCGACCAAAAACAGTAAAACACTCCCAAGCATCATGTATCTGATGGAGATGGTGCTGGAGAGAAAGAAAACAGCAGCTATAAGAAAACACATACCCTATGCTACTCTCCCTCTAATTAATGTTTTCATCTTTCAAGTAAATCCATAACCCCTAACAGCAGTGTCCAGTCAAGCAGGAAGTCAATGAGCACGGTAAAAGGGTGTGCCACTGACACAAATCACGTAACCTGCCAAAAGGGGCGAACATGCCCAAAAAGAGGACATGTCTGCCCAAAGAATTAGAAGGCCAGCCTGGTATGAATGCATGTCAGGCTGCCTGCCAATCATGCAGCTGGCCAACTAAGGGCATACTATGCAGACAGCACCCTGAGCTTGGCATAAATGCATCTAATGATGCGCTCGCTCAACACTTTTTAAGGACTGTCCCCTAGCACTCGCTGGTCCACTTGTCTCCTTACCTTCTTACTAGCAGGCAGAAGCTCCTGGTATATAGTCTGGGACAAAGAAAAGGTGTATGTAGAGAGTGTAGAAGAAAGGGGACATGCCACAGTGTTAGAGGACAAAAGTCAGCATTACCTTAAAGGATCACTATAGGGTCAGGAACACAAACATGAATTTGTGACCCTATAGTGTTGACACCACCATCTAGCCCCCCTGGGCCCCTCATGCCTCCATAAATATAGCAAAATCTTACTGTATTCAAGCCTGAAGCTGTAACTCTGTTAGACTCTGTTAGACTCAGAAAAACAAGCAGTCTGCTGGCATCATTAGAAGTGGTGGCCTAATCCAATCACAGTGCTTCCCCATAGGATTGGTTGAGACTGACAAGGAGGCAGATCAGGGGCAGAGACAGCATGATTCAAACACAGCCCTGGCCAATCAGCATCTCCTCATAGAGATTAATTGAATCAATGAATCTCTATGAGGAAGGTTCAGTGTCTGCATGCAGAGGGAGGAGACACTGAATGTTTGGATGCATTTTAGGCAGCCATGACCCAGGAAGGATCTCTAACAGCCATCTAAGGAGTGGCCAGTGAAGTTATCACTAGGCTGTAATGTAAAGACTGCATTTTCTCTGAAAAGACAGTGTTTACAGCAAAAAGCCTGAACGGTAATGATTCTACTCACCAGAACAAATTCAATAAGCTGTAGTTGTTCTGGTGACTCTAGTGTCCCTTTAACTATATTCATTGTCAGCCAGTCCACACAAGTTTTGTTCCCATACATCCCTCTTAAGTTTCCATACTTAAGTAAGAGTATGTGAAAAGTAGTTAGGGTTGCCACCTTTCTTGGAAAAACATACCGGCCTTGCTAATTTGCATAATTAAATATGTATGGGTGACATCACATGATGTTAATCACAAGGAGTGACATAAGAGAAAATGCTGTAAAATCACCAAAAAACTACATAGTTTGATTCTGCTGTATAGCTGGACTCCTCCCAGTGGCCCCATGTCTCCCAGTGCCCCCATGTGTCGATTACTCCAGGTCTCAGTTTTCCTATGTATCAGTGTCTTAGTGCCCCATGTCTCCCAGTGTCCCCATGTATCCCAGGGTCCCCATGTCACTACGAAGACGGGAAGACCTGGGGACACGGGGAGACCTAGGGACACGGAGACACCAGTGACACTGGGAGACTAGGGGACTCTGGCTGGGATGCATGGGGACACTGGAAAATAGGGGACACTTGAAGACATGGGGACACAGACACCATGGACACAGACACTAGAGACACTGGCTGGGGGACATGGGGACATTGAGAAATGGGGGTACTGGGAGACATGGGGACAAGGAGACACCAGGGCCACAGACACTAGGGACACTAGCTTGGAGATATGGGGACATTGAGGCACTGGAAGACATGGAGGCACTAGGAGACATGGGGACAGTGAGACACTGGCAGACTGGGGGCACTGGGAGAATAGGGGGCACTGAGACACCAGGGACACTGGCTGGGAGACATGGGGACACTGTGTCCACATGTGTCTGTGTCATAATGTCTCCTAATGTCCCATAGTGTCTCAGTGTATGTCTCCTTGCAGCCTTTCCCCATCCCTCACTTCCCTGAGCTGTAGGCTGTCTCTGCAGGGTGGGAGTTGCTGTCTGGACTCTCTGTAGCTGCACCCCTGCAGATCAGTGAGTATAGATAGGCAGGGAGGGATATGCTGGAACTTCCTATCCCTGCCTGTCTCCACACACAGCGACCCCTACTGGCCAGTGCTGGTATTGCATAGTAATCTCTTGTTTATACTGAGAAAAATACCAACATTTGTATTGCCAGTATCACTGTAATATTGGCACCAGCCAGGCAGCCTCAAATACTGGCTGTGCCAATAAAATAAAAGCCAGGTGGAATCCCTAAGAGTTGTGTGTGAAAAAAAAAAAATGTAAAAAAAAAAAATTTTTTTTTTTTTTATAAATCAATGGGCCTATTCCATGGGCCTGGGCCTGGAGCTGCAGCTCCATCAGCCCCTATGTTAATCCGGCCCTGACCCAAGGTATTGCAAGTGGGGTATGTCCAGTCTTTTGTAATAGCCACTTAGTCACAAACACTGGCCAAATTTTTGTTTTTTTTGCTTTTTTTACACAAAAACAAATATGAATTTTAACTTTGGCCAGTGTTTGTGACTAAGTGGCTACTAAAAATGACTGGACATATCCCATCTGCAATACCTTGGGTTGTCTCCTTTCGCAAATGGTATGCTATCATGGGGGTAATTCTTATTCCTGGGCTACCATACGGTCTCAAAAGGCAACATAACCAATCTGGCAAATTTCAATGTGAAAAAAATGAAATGCAAGCCTTATATTTGACTCTCTAACTTTCCAAAACACCATAACAATTGTACATGGGGGTACTGTTATACTTGGGAGACTTCACTGAACACAAAAATAAGTGTTTTAAAACAGTAAAACATATTACAACAATAATATCGTCAGTAACAGTGCAGTTTGTGTGTGAAACATGCAAAAACATCACTTTTACTAAAAATATCATTGTTGTAATACAAGTTACCATTTTGAAACACTAATGTTTGTGTTCAGCGAAGTCTCCCGAGTAAAACAGTACCCCCAATGTATAGGTTTTATGATGTCTTGGAAAGTTACAGGGGTAAATAGAGTGCTTGCAATTCAAATTCTCTGCACTTTCTGCCTGGGTTGTCAGTAGACATGTGCAGTTCGTTTCGGTCCGAATGCAAATTCGGACGAATTTGGGAAATTCGGGTGCTTCCGAATTTCCGAATAGCTGAATTGCCAAAATGCCGAATTGTCGAAGTTCTGAAATTACCGAATTTCCGAAGTGCTGAAGTGCCGAAGTTCCGAAGTTGCCGAAGTTCCGAAGCACAGTATTGCCTAAGTACTAATATACTTACCCAGTGGAAGAAGAAGAATGTTACACTGTATGCAATTTTAAATAAAAAGTATACAAACATAGCCAGGATTCAGCTGTAAGCATTTGCAACACTTACAACAATCAAGTAATACACATTCATATAAAATGTAAGTTACTTGGCCAGTCAATGTAATGACAGGAATAAATAAGTAGATAACTCCCTAATTCCCCCGCTATTAGGGAGCTATCTACTAAAAGGCTGAAAGACCTGAATTGGTCTTTCAGGCAAATTTACCAATACTAACAAAAGATTACTTAGTGTTAGTAAATTATGCCCTTACTCGCTATACCGCGAGTAGGGGCATGTCTAGTAAACAGTGAGCAGCCTGTGGCTGAAAACTGTTTAAACAAAAAACATGTTCCCACTCCTGAGCCAGTGGCGGCTTTTAAATTAAGGGGGACCTATTGCCCCCCGTCCCCCACCCCTGAGAGGCGGGTGGGGGCCCTAAAGTAGAATAGGGGGGAGACCTATTGTCGTCCTCCCCCCGGCCCCCACCCCCCTGAGCGGCGGGTCTAAATACCAATAAGGGGGGACCTATTGTCCTCCCCCCTGGCCCCCACCCCTGAGCGGCGGGTGGGTGCCCTAAATTAGAATAGGGGGGGACCTATTGTCCTCCCACCCCTGAGCAGTGGGTGGGGGCCCTAAATAAAAAATGGGGGGACCTAATGTCCTCACCCCTGGCCCCCACCCTTGAGCGAAGGGTGGGGGCCCTAAATTAGAAAAAGGGGGGACCTAATGTCCTCCCCCATGGTGCCCACCCCTGAGTGGTGGGTGGGGGCCCTAAATACCAATTAGGGGGGAGACCTAATGTCCGCCCCCCTGGCCCCCACCCCTGAGCGGTCGGTGGGGGCCCTAAATAAAAAATGGTGGGGGACCTAATGTCCTCCCCCGGGCCCCCACACCTGAGTGGTGGGTGGGGGCCCTAGGGAAGACCTAATGTCCTCCCCCCTGGCCCCGACCCCTGAGCGGTGGGTGGGGGCCCTAAATTAGAAAAAGGGGGGAACCTAATATCCTCTCCCCTGGCCTCCACCCCTGAGCGGCAGGTGGGGGCCCTAAATAGAAATTGGGGACATTTTATTTAGGGCCCCCACCCACCGCTCAGAGGTGGGGGCAAGGGGGGAGGACATTAGGTCCCCCCAATTTTTATTTAGGGCCCCCACCCACCACTCAGGGGTGGGGGCCAGAGGGAGGACAATAGGTCCCCCCATTATTTTACTTTAGGGCCCCCACCCACTGCTCAGGGGTGGGGGCCGGGGGGAGGACATTAGGTCCCCCCCAATTTTTATTTAGGGCCCCCACCCACCGCTCAGGGGTGGGGGCCAGGGGGCAGGACATTAGGTGTCCCCCAATTTTTATTTAGGGCCCCCACCCACCGCTTAGGTGTTGGGGCAAGGGTGGAGGACATAAGGTCCCCCCCTTATTCTAATTTAGGGCCCCCACCCACCGCTCAGGGGTGGGGGCCAGGGGGGAGGACATTAGGTCACCCCCCATTATTTTACTTTAGGGCCCCCACCCACCACTCAGGGGTGGGGGCTGAGGGGGGTAATAGGTCCCCCCTTTTATTTAAAAGGCTCAGGAGGAGAGAATGCTTTACTTTTTAATTTATTTTTTAAACAGTGAGCAGCCACAGGCTGCTCACTGTTTACTAGACATGCCCCTACTCGCGGTATAGCGATTAGGGGCAAAATTGACTAATACTAAGTAATTTTTACTTAGTATTAGTAAATTTGACTGAAATTTAGGTCTTTCAGCCTTTTGGTAGATAGCTCCCTAATACCGTGAGAATTAGGGTGTTATCTACCAAGCGGCTGCAAGAGAAGTCCCGAAACGCCGAATTTCCAAAGGGTCGAAGTGCCGACGTTCCAAAGTGTCGAAGTGTCGAAGTGTCAAAGTTGCCTAAGTTTCGAAGTGCTGAATTGTCGAAGTCCCGAATCTCAGAATGGCGAACCGAAACAAAAGTTTTCCCCATGCACATGCCTAGTTGTCAGGCTTTTCAATCAAATTTTAATTAATTCAATCACATAATTATGTTAAAATATTACTTAAATATACACGTAGAATTTTAATATATATATATGTATTTAAAGTCTACGCTTACACTTATGTAGTTATTTATGTTATTATATATATTTATGTGTATATATATATATTTGCGATTATTTGTATTTTATATATAGATAGATATATATAGAATGTCATTCTAAGTGTATTTTGTTACCAATATATATTCATAACAAAATACAGTGAGAATGAAATTACATATGTATTTATAATTTGTTTATTTTTTTTTTTATATTTTATTTATTTTTATTTATTTATTTATTGTAATTATATTTCTATATCTGATGGATGTGCTGTGTGCATGCGCAGTACAATCATCAGATTTCTATATCAGATTTCTATATCTGAAGGATGTGCCACGCGCATGTGCAGTACACCTGTCAGATTTGTATATCAGATTTAAATCTGATGGATGTGCCAAACGCATTTGTAGTACACTCGTCAGATTTCTATATCTGATGGATGTGCTGCGCACATCCGCAGTACACCCGTCCAATTTTTATATCAGATTTCTATATTTGAAAGATTTGCCGTGCGCATGCCCAGTGCACCTGTCAGATTTCTATATCTGAAGGATGTGCTGCGCACATGGGCAGTACATCCATCAGGTTTGTATAACAGATTTATATATCTGAAGGATGTGCCGTGCGCATGCGCAGTACACCCGGCAGATTTAAATCTAATGGATGTTCTGCACGCATGCGCAGTACACCTGTCAGATTTGTATATCAGATTTAAATCTGATAGATGTGCCGAACGCATTCGTAGTACACTCGTCAGATTTCTATATCTGATGGATGTGCTGCACACATGCGCAGTACACCCGTCAAATTTTTATATCAGATTTCTATATCTGAAAGATTTGCCATGCGCATGCGCAGTGCACCTGTCAAATTTCTATATCTGAAGGATGTGCTGCACGCATGGGCAGTACACCCATCAGATTTGTATATCAGATTTCTATATCTGAAGGATGTGCCGTGTGTATGTGCAGTATACCCGTCAGATTTGTATATCAGATTTATATCTAATGGATGTGCCACGCGCATGCGCAGTCCACCCGTCAGATTTGTACAGTTGCAAGAAAAAGTATGTGAACCCTTTGGAATGATATGGATTTCTGCAAAAATTGGTCATAAAATGTGATCTGCTCATCATCTAAGTCACAACAATAGACAATCACAGCCTGCTTAAACTAATAACACACAAAGAATGAAATGTTTCCATGTTTTTATTGAACACACCATGTAAACATTCACAGTGCAGGTGGAAAAAGTATGTGAACCCCTAGACTTATGACATCTCCAAGAACTAATTGGAGTGAGATGTCAGACAACTGGAGTCCAATCAATGAGATGAGATTGGAGGTGTTGGTTACAGCTGCCATGCCCTATAAAAAACCCAGGTAAGTGACAGAAGGGGTTATTAACCCATTCTGCACCTAAGGGGTGGGGGAGGGCTTGACAGAGGGGGAAGCTATAGTGCCAGGGAAACAAGATTGTTTCCCTGGCACTAAAGTTTCACTATAGTTTCCCTTTAATCCCTTAAGGACCAAACTTCTGGAATAAAAGGGAATCATGACATGTCACACATGTCATGTGTCCTTAACCCCTTAAGGACCAAACCTCTGGAATAAAAGGAAATCATGACATGTCACACATGTCATGTGTCCTTAAGGGGTTAAGGGGTTGAAGAGCCAATATCTGTTTATCATAATAAATGTTGTGGTTTAGAGGCTCAGCACATTCACTGTCACACCTGGAAAAAAATCAGAATAATACCATTCCACCTCTTTTCTCCAAGGATTATCGGCCCAGCAATTGATTTAGTCACCTCACCTAATTTATAAATAGGCACATTGTGATATTTACTAATTGGCAAACTTACCGTATTGCACTGATAAAAGATTTGATGCCGAAAAAAGCATTTGCTATATCTTTTTTTTATACAATATTCTTTTATTTTGATCCTGGGTTACTTTTGGTGGTTAAGAGGTATTCCACTAAAATTCCTCTCGAATTCTTGTTTGTACTTTTTGTTTGTTTATACTTTGTACTAATAAAATATATGCCTGTGAAATCTCCTGATGTCCTGTATCCTACTTCTGAAAGTGGATCCTGTGGCCAATATTGGCTCCATTTGACCTTTCACATAGAGCGTGGTACGGCTCTGGGACATGTGAGTTATATCCAAACCCATCCTATTGTTTTACAACTTTTACTGGTCACACCATGCTTGCTGTTTTCTTTTTTATTGTAGGTCTTTGATACCAGTTTGTGTCATCTGCATATATCTGAATCTACAGAAGCCTGTATAAGATATATAAGTCATACACCTTTTTTGCACTAGATTTTTATTTTCACTGTATTTTATTCTAGTAGTATATATAGTTTTCTATTGTCACTGTGGTATTTATTAATTGGCAAACTTACTGTGATATTAATAAACATATATATTATACTGTGGTATATGTTAATGGGCAAACATACTGTGGTATTTATTAAATGGAAAACCTACTGAATTTATTACTGGGCACGTGACAGTAAAATGGACCAACCGACTGTGGCATGTTCTGTGGGGCAACATGATACTGTTCTGTGTCAAAAACCCATTTTTGAGAGAAATTTAGGTTCACAAGAAGACCATTGAGTGCTCTCCTTTGAGGCAACTTATTGCTGTGAAGCTGGAGGTATAGCTCAGCAAGAAATATACAAAAGTGACTCACTTTTCTAAAGTCCCTGCAAAAATGAAAGAACACTCAGTAGTTTTCCTTTAAAATTGACTTTCTTTCAAGAAGTGTGTGAGTATATATAGTGGAAATTTTATTCATACTAACCGTAATTTTCTCTTCCTGGCTATTATTCATGGCAGCATATACCTATATATATATATGGATTAGCTCCTCCCCTTACAGCCGATAGGACAGGAATAAAGCAAAAACCTTTAACGACGTATCCCTGTATAGATCCCTCAGTCAGTAACAAGCTCCTACAGAAGAAGTTAATCCAACACTGGGTGGGTAGTATATGCTGCCATAAATAATAGCCAAGAACAGAAAATTATGGTAAGTATGAATACATTTTCCACTTTCCTGGCTAATCATGGCAGCATATACATATGGGAATACCCAAGCTTGCCAGGGAGGGACAAGAGACTGAATAAATGCAGAAATAAGTTTAATGAACATATCAGAACAACTCAATATTTAGAAGAGTGAACTGAATGAAGGACTTGATGTCCAAACTGAGATTCATTTGCAGCTTTAACATCCAGTTTGTAGTGACAAATGAACGTGTTCAATGAAAACCAAGTGACAGCCTTGCAGATACTGTCAGGGGAGGGGACCATTTGCCACAGACGCCCAAGATGGTCCTGAAGAAAGGTCTTCTGATATTCATGCTTCTTGTCTCCTTAGGTCATTTCATTCCCGTTTTGCTTCTTGTCCTTTCGCCCATTGGGCGGTTCTTGAAGGGGGGCATTGTTAGCGTACCTGTGTTATGTTGGCAGGCTGGGACTCAGTGTGGGGACCTCTTCCATGTGGAGGAGGACCATCCTCAAGGTTCTCCCTCTTTCATCAGCGGTTCTGACGCTGGTCACTGTAGCTCTGCCCCTTGTATGACACGGCACCCTTTTGGGGGTGTGGCTGCCAACTTAAAGAGCCACAATATAAAGAGGGCTCATAGAGCTGTGTTCTGACTACTCTCCTTTCCTCCGACTCGGTTTGTGCTTTCTCGTTTATTCAGACTTCTGGTTTCTTTGACCTTGGCTTGTTCCGGACTATTCTCTGTCCTTGCTCACAGTAGGCCGGCCACTCTAAGGTCCGTTATACTTTTAATTATTTATTTGTTTAGACACTGCCCATTGGATCTCTGTGACACTCCTGACAATTAGGAGAACAGTGGCTTGAGTCCCACAAGTGAAAATGGGATAGGCCTGCGTTCCTTGCACTTTTAAATATTTTACTATATTTAGGAGAATGTGATGCATTAAGGTGGGTAGGAAGCACAGCAATCAAAAATAAAACACATCAATCCTGTGGTAGAAATGTCAGCAGGACCAGGGTACAAAGACATGTGAGCAAGAGAACCATTAAGGAAAGAAAAAAGAAAGTTAGGAATAAAGTTCTTTTTCCTAAAATAAAATATTTTATGTTTGTTTTAAGAAAATATTCTTGAATTCAGGCAATTCATTTCTATAGTTGCTACCACCCACATAGTCCGAAAGAATACATCTTTTTTTTTTTTTTTTTTAATAAATTTGATTCAAATGAAAGTACTTACCCCCTGATGTTATTTGCTGTCAGTTATATGGGCTCTTTGACAGCATGCTACATCATGCATGTTTTGCATCAGCAGGACTTTGTCAATGAGATGTTACTGAAAGGTCAGACTTAAAAGACTTAAAATGTCATCTAAATCAACTGTATTGTTTAGCTAATACAAAGAAGCAAGCAAAATAGGCATTGTAGCAATCAGATTGGATACATTACAAAATAAAAAACGTTGCCATAGCAAAAGTGTAAAAATGAATAAAGATTTTTCCAAGTACGTTAGTGATAAAAAAAATGAAATAAAGCTGTTGATCAGTTAAAACTGAAATGAGTAAGCTTTTTATTAAGGACAGGATATATTACAAATTTTAAATATATTTCCTGTACACTAAAAAAAGAGCTAATTACTGCAGATTTGCAAAATCATCAAACCCCAGCAAACATGTGACAGATGTAATACAAAAGCAATTAAAGCTGAAGTACTTCAAACCCTAGTGTGAGACAATTTGCACCAACAGGTACTTAGGGATTTTATTGTAGTAATTAGGCTTCCTCTGGTTGTCTTAAGCAAATATGATTAGATTTAAAAATTTAAGTGTTCTAGGTTTGTAATGTGTGGTGTGGCATTTTTTTTTCACTTAGAATTTTTATTTGGTTTTCATATTGAATTAAAAGCAAGTGTTAGTTTTGCAGGCATACACAGTATTTCATGCTGAAAATGTGCAAGGGTAGGTCCCCCACCCTTATTACAGTCTGTAATATTGCAGTGTCAACCTGGTACAAGTGAATTATATATTCTGGATGCATAAACAGTATGCAAAGTACAAACTTGTAAGGTATCTGATATAATGGAGCAATGCAACTCACAGTGCATTTAAGTGAAATCTAATGACATCAACAAAAGTGGTGTGACAGAGTGTTGGGGATGGTGGTCAGGGGTGTATATCTGGCACCCAGACTTTTGTGCAGCCACTATCCTGACGTGGGTAAGCACATGCAGCCCCAGGGAAAGTTAAGTTTAAATGTAGTTTTTTTTCTATGTTGTTATTTGGGTCCCTGGGGTGGAGTATTCGGAAGAGCAGGGTGGGCCGATTCTCCACCCACTGTCAGAGTGGTTGTGCATGAGTCCAGCCCAGGTTTTCTGAGGAGTTCTGGCTCACTGCCTAACGAGGTCATTAGCCTCACCTGTAGGGGCTGTGAGCACCTTTATAACTGCTGTTAAAGCAGGGTGGAGTGAGGGAAGTGTTTTGAGGAGAAAGAAGGTGTAACAAGCGCTTACCTTTTCCCGCCTTTTCCCATGCGCGCCGACGTCAGAGTAAAAATGGCGCCAAAATTCAAACGTGGCCACGCTCCCGGACTTTTTGGGGGCGTGGCTACGAAATTAAAGCCATAGAACCCACACTATAAAAGGGCTATCATGACACTTGTCAGATGCCCTAGTGTGGTTCTTGTTTAAAGTCCCCTGGTGCTATCTTTTCTTATTGTCCTTCCTGGTATTAGACCCTTGGCTATCCCTCTCTGACTATTCTGTGTTCTGGTTTCCCGTATCTTGGCTTGGATTATCGTGTGCCCGTCTTCCGTATTCCCTTGACCTCTGGCTATTTCTCTTGACTATTCTCAGACGCTAGTCCGGCCATTCTAAGGTCCGGTAACCGTCTTTCTGTGGGTTTTCACGCTGTGTGAAGGGGTTACTGTTGTGACTTTGGTCACTGTCGTGACATTACACTAGGGCCATGGATCCTGCAGGTGTTAACCCTCTCGGACCGGCACCTGATGACCGGTTTGAGGAACTGGACCATCGCATGGACCAGTTCGCTATTGCAGTACAAATCTTGCTTGCTCGTACTGCCCATCTCCAACCGGAGGAGCAAACCCCAGTACTCAGACCTCAGGAACAACCCATGGAAATGGTTACTATGGGTACTCCTAATCATGCTACTTCCCCTCTCCGTTACGGGGGTGATCCTAAAGGCTGCCGAGGTTTTTTGAATCAAGTCAGTATTTATTTTGAGCTTCATCCGAGAGCATACCCTACAGATAGGGCAAAGATAGGTTACATCATTACTTTATTGGTCGATAGGGCATTGACTTGGGCAAATCCTCTGTGGGAGAACGATAACCCGGTAGTGTTTAACTATGTAGAATTTGTCGCAGTTTTTAGGAGGGCTTTTGATCCTCCAGGGAGGAGAACTAATGCTGCCAAAACCTTGCTACGTATGAGACAGGGTTCTCGTTCTCTTGTTGATTACGCTTTAGAATTCCGTACCCATGCGGCTGAAGTTAGATGGAATGAACAAGCGTTTATTGACGTATTCATGAACGGGCTTTCAGATAAACTCCTAGATGAAGTTGCCACTAGAGACCTACCCAATGTGTTAGAGGAATTGATCACATATCTTTCCCACATTGATGAGCGTCTTAGACATAGGCAGAATACTAGAGACAGACCTCGACGGGTGCCAGAACGCTTAGCGTTAACCTATCCTTCATCCGAGACAACAACAGTCGCTCCTCCAGAATGCAACTGGGAGTCACACGTTTGTCTGAGGATGAAAGACAATACCGCCGTAGGGAGGGACTATGCCTATACTGTGGCCAAAAGGCTCTCGTTCAACCTGTCCTAACCGGCTGGAAAACTCCCGCACCTAAGCCCTCATGGAGGACAGGCCTTGGGTGTAATGTGTATGTCCTCCTTTAATGATAAAAAAGATCATAGGCTTCTTCTACCTATTGTTATTGAGTGGGAAAATAAAAAAGTGGCAACCATTGCCTTAATAGACTCTGGGGCGGCCGAAAATTTTATTGATCATAAATTCGGTCAGGAACATGCTTTCCCATTTCAGAATAGATCAACACTCTTGGCCGTTGAGGCCATAGATGGTAGACCATTATCTATCCCGTTTATCACACAAGAGACTCTTCCAGTGGTATTGTCCGTAGGTTCCCTGCATAAGGAGGTTATTATCCTGCAACAAGTCACTTCCCCCATCTTTCCGGTTATTCTTGGCTTTCCTTGGCTCTCTAAACATAACCCTTCTATAGATTGGGAGAAAAAGGAAATTGTGAAATGGAGTGAGACTTGCCGCAGAAAATGTATTACCCCTATTAAACATGTAGGTCTCCTTAATGTACCTACTATGGAACCTTTAACCACTCTGATACCCAGACAATATTGGGATTTAAAAGCAGTTTTTGAGCCAAGAGAGGCAGAAAAATTACCTCCACACCGGTCCTATGATTGTCCCATTGACTTATTACCCGGCACTATGCCCCCTAGAGGCACAGTTTATCCCCTCTCGGTAGCCGAGAATAAGGTATTAGAGGAATATATCACGGAAAACTTAAGAAAGGGGTTTATCACTAAATCTTCCTCCCCTGCTGGCGCTGGGTTTTTTTTTGTTTCCAAGAAGGAAGGGGACTTAAGGCCCTGTATTGATTATCGGGGTTTAAACAAAATAACTATACGTAACGCCTATCCTATTCCTCTAATCACAGAACTTTTCGATAGATTAAAAGGGGCCACTATTTTTACGAAATTGGATCTGAGGGGGGCATACAATCTAGTTAGGATTAAGAAAGGGCACGAATGGAAGACTGCTTTTAATACTCGCTATGGTCACTACGAGTATAGGGTCATGCCATTCGGGCTATGCAATGCCCCATTAATGATGTTTTAAGGGACTATTTACATATGTTTGTTATTGTCTACTTAGACGACATTCTAATCTACTCCAAGAATATTAAAGACCACCATACTCACGTTAGGTTGGTTCTTTCTAAACTCTTAAAAAATGGACTTTACTGTAAATTAGAAAAATGTCAATTTGATATAGACACTGTGCATTTTCTGGGTTACATAATTTCAGGGTCTGGATTCCAAATGGATAAAAAAAAACTAGAAGCTATCCTTAATTGGCCCTTGCCCGTTGGACTCAAGGCTATCCAACGCTTTCTAGGGTTTGCCAATTATTATAGAAAATTTATTAAAGGTTTCTCCTCTATCACTGCACCTATCACTGACATGACCAAAAAGGGGCGAAATTCTAATGAATGGAATCTCGAGGCCAAGGAAGCTTTTGAAAGACTTAAATTAGCCTTTTCTTCTGCACCGGTGTTGAGGCATCCCAATCCCTCTCGTCCATTTATATTAGAGGTGGATGCATCTGAAACCGGTATTGGAGCCGTACTGTCTCAACGTCCATCTGATGATCAACCATTGCATCCCTGTGGATTTTTTTCTAAGAAATTAACTGAGACAGAAAAGAGATATGACATTGGGGACAGGGAGTTATTGGCTATTATCTCTGCCCTCAAGGAGTGGCGCCATCTGTTAGAAGGGTCTACCATTCCCATCACCATCCTTACGGATCACAAAAACCTTTCGTATTTTGGAGAAACTAAAAGAATGTCAGATAGACAGATTAGATGGTCTTTATTTTTAACACGATTCAACTACATAGTAACTTACAGACCAGGATCAAAGAACACTAAGGCTGATGCCTTATCCCGTCAATATGAACATTTGTCACCTACAGTAACGCACCTCTCTTCCATTATCCCATCCAACCATATAATCGCAACCGTCCGTGCCAAAATCTCTTCAGGGTTAATGGAGGAGTTATCTAGGTTTCAGGATCAGACCTCATTGACTATTCCCAGGGGAAAACTATACGTACCCCTGTCTTATAGGAAAAAGGTCTTATTCCTTGTACACAGCTCCAAATTAGCAGGACATCCAGGTATTCACAAAACTGAGTCTTTACTCGAAGAACAGTTTTGGTGGCCTTCATACAAGAAGGATGTTCGCGAGTTCATTCTTGCTTGTAGGGTCTGTGCTTCCACGAAATCATCCAAAGCTCGTCCTTTGGGCCTCCTTTTGCCATTGTCCATTCCCGATAAACCCTGGACAAGTATTGCTATGGATTTTATAGTAGATCTGCCCTCTTCCAGGAACCATAAGGTTATATTGACTATAATCGACAGATTCTCTAAAATGACTCATCTCATCCCACTAATCAAATTACCCTCCTCTTCTGAACTGGCCTCTTTATTTATAAAAGAGGTAGTACGTTTACATGGCATACCTCAAGATATTACATCTGACAGGGGTCCACAGTTCATTTCACGGTTCTGGAGGGCATTTTGTGACCAATTAGGTATTGTCCTTAACCTTTCTTCTTCTTATCATCCCCAATCCAATGGGGTTACGGAAAGGATGAATCAATGCCTGTAACAATACATCCGCTGTTTCATTTCTGAGCACCAAGACGATTGGGTGGAACTACTCCCATGGGCTGAATTCGCCCATAATAATCTAATACACGAATCCACTCAACATAGTCCCTTTTTTATTAATTATGGGTTTAATCCTCCTACTTTGCCGAGTTCTTTTTCATCTACAGGAGTGCCTAGTGTTGACAGCACCCTTCACAATATGAAAGAAACTTGGCTTGCAGTTAAACATATCTTAAATCAAAAGACTCAGATTCAAAAGAAGAATGCGGATAGACGACGTAGGGCTGCTCCTACGTTCGTGGCGGGGGACAGGGTTTGGTTAAGTACCCGTAACATAAAGTTAAAGGTACCCTCGATGAAATTTGCTCCCCGTTTCATAGGCCCGTTTCAGATACTCAAACGCATTAATCCGGTCTGTTATAGTTTGAGATTGCCAAATACTATGAAAATTCCTAACGCTTTTCATGTTTCCCTTCTCAAACCGTTCATTTGTAATCGTTATACTCAGAATATCCCCACTCCTCCTGCCGCACCCGTGGAGGATCATGTCGAATACGAAGTTAAATCTATATTGGATTCCCGGATTTCTCGGGGTAAATTGCAATATCTCCTTGATTGGAAAGGGTACGGTCCTGAAGAGCGATCATGGGTCGATGCGTCTGATGTTCACGCCCCTCGTCTGGTTCGTCTATTTGAGAGGCGGCGCTCTTGTGGGTTCAGTTCCTCCCGCCCTGTGGGCGGTTCTCGAGGGGGGGTACTGTAACAAGCGCTTACCTTTCCCCGCCGGTCCCGCGCAGCGCCGGGTCCTCCTCCGATGCTTCCGGGGGGCGGCTCAGACATTCTGACGCCGGCCGCTCGGAACACGGCCACATTTATGACGCGGCGCATGTGCGCCGACGTCAGAGTAAAAATGGCGCCAAAATTCAAACGTGGCCACGCTCCCGGACTTTTTGGGGGCGTGGCTACGAAATTAAAGCCATAGAACCCACACTATAAAAGGGCTATCATGACACTTGTCAGATGCCCTAGTGTGGTTCTTGTTTAAAGTCCCCTGGTGCTATCTTTTCTTATTGTCCTTCCTGGTATTAGACCCTTGGCTATCCCTCTCTGACTATTCTGTGTTCTGGTTTCCCGTATCTTGGCTTGGATTATCGTGTGCCCGTCTTCCGTATTCCCTTGACCTCTGGCTATTTCTCTTGACTATTCTCAGACGCTAGTCCGACCATTCTAAGGTCCGGTAACCGTCTTTCTGTGGGTTTTCACGCTGTGTGAAGGGGTTACTGTTGTGACTTTGGTCACTGTCGTGACAGAAGGTTTGCTGCCTGTTGTATCCTGTTGTATCCTGCTGCTACTTAACAACATAAATTAAACAGGCCAGAGGGCTTTGAAACTGGACTTTGTCTTGGCCTGGCTTCCTTACCCTAGAGGGCTGTGCAGTAGGCATGTGCATGGGGAAAATATTCGGCTCGGTTCGGGACTTCGTCAGTTCAGGACTTTAGCAGTTCGGCACTTCGACACTTCGGAGCTTCGGCAACTTCTGCACTTCCACAATTCGGCACCTCGAACCTTTGCCACTTCAGAACTTAGAAACTTTAGAACTTCGGCACTTTGGAATTTTGTCAACTTTGCACTTCGGAACTTCGGAACTCCGGCATTTGACTCATAACACTCTGCTGGATTAAGTAGCCAATCAAAGAGTTATGAGTCAAATTACACAGTGTGAGAAAATTCCAAATAACTTTCCCACGCTGTGTAAAATGACACAGAGCACTCTGATTGGTGGATTTCAAACCAACCAATCAGAGTGCTGTGACAGGTAAATGTAGAGACTTAAATATCAGTCTCTTCATTTACCTGTCAGAGCACTCTGATTGGATGGCTTAAACCCACCAATCAGAGTACTCTGAGCCTAATTGCAGGGCGGGGCAAGGCTTTATAAGCCTTCCCCCGCCCTGCAGAGCTCAGTCTGTGCGGAGCCCTCGCCAGGTGAAGATTTTTTTTTTGCGCTCAGGTTTTTGTTTTTTTAACTGCGTCGGTTATTATGGGGGCCAGGGGGGAGGACATTAGGTGTCCCCCCTTATTCTTGTTTAGGGCCCCCACCCACCGCTCAGTGGTGGGGGCCAGGGGGGAGGACATTAGGTCCCACCCTTATTCTTGTTTAGAGCCCCCACCCACCACTCAGGGGTGGGGGCCAGGGGGGAGGACATTAAGTCCCCCCTTATTCTTGTTTAGGGTCCCCACCCACCACTCAGGGGTGAGGGCCAGGGGGGAGGACATTAGGACCCCCAATTTGTATTTAGGGACCACACCCACCGCTCAGGGGTGGGGGCCGGGGGGCAATAGGTCATGATATAGCGAGTAGGGGCATACTTTACTAATACTAAGTAATTTTTACTTAGTATTAGTAAATTTGGCTGAAAGACCAATTCAGGTCTTTCAGCCTTTTAGTAGATAGCTCCCTAATACCGTGGGAAGTAGGAAGTTATCTACTTATTCATTCCTGTCATTACATGACTGGCTAAGTAACGTACATTTTATAAGAATGTGTGTTACTTGATTGTTGTAAGTGTTGCAAACGCTTACAGCCGAATCCTGGCTATGTTTGTATACTTTTTATTTAAAATTGTATACAATGTAACATTCTTCTTCTTTCACTGGGTAAGTATATTAGTACTTAGGCAATACTGTGCTTCGGAACTTCGGCACTTTGACACCTCTGAACTTCAGCAACTTCTGCACTACTACACTTCGGAAATTCAGTAATTTCGGGACTTCGGCAATTCATCATTTCGGCAATTCCGCTATTCGGACATTCGGAAGCACACGAATGTCCGAATTACCCGAAATTCGGCTGAATTTTAATTCGGACTGAAATGAATTGCACATGTCTACTGTGAAGTTGCCAAAAGATCCTGGACAAACACACACTGGGAAGTAAGTTTGTCACAGTGGAAACAAAAACAATTACAAGAGCAAAATAAAATGCTGAGCTAACATTAGGCAGAGCATTCCCCGGTTTCTGAATATGTGGTTTAAATTGTGTACCCCAGTTTTCGCACTATTGTTGTATATATATTTATTGATTGTATTATTTTGCTAAAAAATCAGACAAGTATTTGCTTGCCACTCTTGATGCTTTCCCTGTATATACCTGTGTGAAGCCATTAGTTTGTAATCTAGAGCAGTGGTGACCTGCATCGGAATATCTTGGATCGTTGGTAGGAAGGTTTGTTTCCATTTTCTAGCCAGAAGTGTTGTGTTGAAGTGAATATTAGGTCTAGGAGTTTGTGTCGCATAGGGAGATGCCTGGGTAGAATGTACAACATAAATACCTCTGTGATGGTGTTATAGCTATGTCTATGTAGTCTCTTATTATTTTTGTTACTCCTTCTGTTACAGTCGTGACTTAAATATGAATATTAATTTAATAATTAATATATAATAATTAAGCAACACATAACAACATTAATATTTTTTAGAGTTCGGTATTATGGTCGAATATATAATAGGAAATACACAAAACATTGTAGTATTAAATGTTTATTTAATATAATTATAATAACAATTAAACAAATGCTAGCAGAATGTCAATTTACCACAATACAAAACTACAACATATTACTTACAAAAGGCTATAACAGTTGCTAGCTGTTATAATAGATTACTTACACGGCTCCAGCCTGTTTGGCTGGAGCTATACAGTCAGCTACATGTTCAATCAATGCAAGCAAAGAAAAAAAAGGGGCTGAATTCCTTCTACTATTTGGTTTTATCCAGTAAGTAGGCTGGCCTGTGATGTCACTGCCAGAAGCACATGAGTTAGCACACTGACCCCTAGTGGTGCCTCTAAAGCATTAAGCTCATTATGCTTTACTGACATCTAGTGGTGCGTCTAAAGCATTAAGCTCATTATGCTTTTTATGACAAAA